CATGTTTTGATCACGTGACTTGACGCCATGAAGGTGCTGACAACGTCATAATTCGGTCATACTCAATGCAGCAATTTCCCCCATATTTTCATTATTTTTGTTTTAAAAATATTGGCGTAAAACTAATACAATTTTAAGACTCATGAATATAAAGTTAACCGATACATATTAGTCTACTCATATTTTGTTTATTTTGGTCTGTTATTTATTTATTTATTTATTTATTTATTCTTGTTTGTTGGTTGCATAAATGTTATTTATTCTTTGATCCGTACCAGCACAAGCGACGTATTTTGTTGATAAATATTACGCCGGGTAGTTCTTTGAAATAAATTGAAGCAACATATTAAAAGGTAAAAATTGATACTAGTAAGTTTGTAATATCTTTTACAGAAAAGAGCGAGAGAGTGGTTTCGCAGATCTGCAATTATAACACGTGATTTGAAAAGCCGTTTTGGGGGGAAAAAAAACATACATGGAAGCAGATCTAGACAAACCAATGCTTTACGACTGGAACTTTGACTCAGGCTTTAATTCTAATTTTTACGATGGATTTTTTTCAGTATGCTCATACTTACAGTATATATAAATTCTTCAACAACTAGCATGTTTTAAAGAGGGGCGAGTGAAAGACTAATCCTCCCCTTTTATTAGTGAAGCATACAACTTACACTTCTATCACTTTTTTCACATTTAACGGAGTTAACCACTCCACCCACAAGCCCTTTTATGCACATGCAACACTTCTTATTTCTTAATAAATTTTTTTCAACAATCCTGTTCTCACATGTGTGCGATCATTTCATGACTTTTTACCTTAATGAAAATAATATATGTATTAATTCAGTACCCTTCGTCTTAATTATTAGCACACTCTAATAAAAAGAAAGATTTTTATTTAAATGTTTTTCCTTCTCAAATGTTATAAACGTAATACATGTAAGTCATATTTTTAGAGGCTAACATTATACATGTAGATTACTCGGCAAGTGCGCTATATATATAGGGCCAGGGTGAGCTTTAACTAAAATAAATTTAAACAAGAGGCCCATGGGCCACATCGCTCACCTGAGTAACTTTGGCCATGCTGTTCATTACCAGACTCCCCCCTTGTAATACCTATTGTGGCCCCATCCTCCCCCCAGGGGCCATGATTTGAACAATTTAGAGTGTACACTACTTGAGGATGCTTCCACATAAGTTTCAGCTTTTCTGGCCCAGTGGTTCTTGAGAAGAAGTTTTTTAAAGATTTTTCCTATATATTTCAATGTAAAAATTGTATTTCCTATTGTGGCCCCGCCCTACCCCGGCGGGTCATGATTTTTACAATTTAGAATCTACACTACCCCAGGATGCTTCCACATAAGTTTCAGCTTTTCTGGTCCAGTGGTTCTTGAGAAGAAGATTTTTAAAGATTTTTCCTATATATTTCAATGTAAAACTTGGATTCCCTATTGTGGCCCCGCCCTACCCCCGGGGGTCATGATTTGAACAATTTAGAATCTACACTACCCCAGGATGCTTCCACATAAGTTTCAGCTTTTCTGGCCCAGTGGTTCTTGAGAAGAAGATTTTTAAAGATTTTTCCTATATATTTCAATGTAAAACTTGGATTCCCTATTGTGGCCCCGCCCTACCCCCAGGGGTCATGATTTGAACAATTTAGAATCTACACTACCCCAGGATGCTTCCACATAAGTTTCAGCTTTTCTGGTCCAGTGGTTCCTGAGAAGAAGATTTTTAAAGATTTTTCCTATATATTTCAATGTAAAACTTGGATTCCCTATTGTGGCCCCGCCCTACCCCCGGGGGTCATGATTTGAACAATTTAGAATCTACACTACCCCAGGATGCTTCCACATAAGTTTCAGCTTTTCTGGCCCAATGGTTCTTGAGAAGAAGATTTTTAAAGATTTTTCCTATATATTTCAATGTAAAACTTGGATTCCCTATTGTGGCCCCGCCCTACCCCCGGGGGTCATGATTTGAACAATTTAGAATCTACACTACCCCAGGATGCTTCCACATAAGTTTCAGCTTTACTGGTCCAGTGGTTCTTGAGAAGAAGATTTTTAAAGATTTTTCCTATATATTTCAATGTAAAACTTGGATTCCCTATTGTGGCCCCGCCCTACCCCCGGGGGTCATGATTTGAACAATTTAGAATCTACACTACCCCAGGATGCTTCCATATAAGTTTCAGCTTTTCTGGCCCAGTGGTTCTTGAGAAGAAGATTTTTAAAGATTTTTCCTATATATTTCAATGTAAAACTTGGATTCCATATTGTGGCCCCGCCCTACCCCCGGGGATCATGATTTGAACAATTTAGAATCTACACTATCCCAGGATGCTTCCACATAAGTTTCAGCTTTTCTGGCCCAGTGGTTCTTGAGAAGAAGATTTTTAAAGATTTTTCCTATATATTTCTATGTAAAACATTTATTCCACATTGTGGCCCCGCCCTACCCCCGGGGGTCATGATTTGAACAATTTAGAATCTACACTACCCCAGGATGCTTCCATATAAGTTTCAGCTTTACTGGCCCTGTGGTTCTTGAGAAGAAGATTTTTTAATGACCCCACCCTATTTTTGTCTTCTCTTGATTATCTCCCCTTGTGAGGGGACTTGGCCCTTCATTTTAACAATTTAAATTCCCCTTTACCCAAGGATGCTTTGTACCAAGTTTGGTCAAAATTGGCCCAGTGGTTCTTGAGAAGAAGTCAAAAATGTGAAAAGTTTACAGACGGACGGACAGACAGACAGACAGACGGACAGACGGACAGACGGACGGACGGACGACGGACAAAATGTGATCAGAAAAGCTCACTTGAGCCTTCGGCTCAGGTGAGCTAATAAAAACAACTTTAAATTCATTTTTAATTTTTTTTTTTTTTAGTATAACACTATTATATGGAGTATAAAAATAATGCATAAAGTAAAATAAAACGATATTCGATAAATAATACGACGGTCGTCTGGATTTTATCGACAGGTGTTAACAAAATCAATTTTTTTATTGTTAAACACGAAATATATATATATTTTTTCTTGTTTTTTTTTTTAATTTGTTTTAGTTCAACACTACATGGTGCATAAAAATTATACATGACGTCAAATAAAAAGAAATTGGATAAATAACACGATGCACCGATACTACGGGCGTATAGCCATAGGCGAACTAATAGATAAAATCAAATAAATAAAATTAAAATAAAATATATATTTTAAAACATGTAGATTTTCTCAGCGGGTTTATTTTCTACCGACAACCTTTAGCAATCGTATTTCAGCGTTTTCGCCTTTGTACAACAAAGACAACACAGTATCTGCCACCTCTTTATTCAACCATGTCACTCTTGTCACACTGTCAGCACCGTAATGGCGACCGACGACAACGCCGCCGTGTGGCTAAGAGCGATAACTCTGTAAAACTTAGGAAAAGGAATCGTGTATATTACGGTCGTTTTATCGTCTAATTACGGCCGTTTTCAACATTATTTCGGAATTAAACGATAATTATATGTTTCAAGAATACAATATATAGTGTTTCATTTTTAAGAAATTTAGATACGTGATAAAAACCCTTTAAATATCGCAGTCACAGGTTTATTCAAGGGACAATCACACTTACATATTTTTATTTGTATGGGAATCGAACTTGACTTAAATTGCGTACGCAACAAAAGAACTTCTTAATAAGAAGTTTTTGGTTACAAAACATATTGTTTACAAAGATTATAACACAAGGATCACAGACTTGTTAACTGAATGACAAAAAGAACGAACAGTGTCACCGTATTTCCTATACTTATATCCCGTTTTGTAGCTGGAAATTCTAATTTTGTTGTAACACTTCAGTATGCGAGAGAAAACTACACTTTGAGACATGGTTGTGCGATAGTTAAGGGGGGTGGGGAACCTTTGGAAAGTCGCATAAATAAGATACGAATATAATATTTCTTAAAGAATATCCTTTATTCAGAAAAAAATGCACAATTAGTTTTAGAACAGGTTACAATTGTGATCCTTTGTATAAAACATTTTTACAGTGAGAGGAATAACAATACAAGAGGTCCATGGGCCACATCGCTCACCTGAGTATTTTGACTAAATAAAAAGAAGAAATCAGTTCAATTTTGAAAAATTTATATACTGGTCCCCACCTATTACCCCGAGAGGGGGTGGGGCATTCAAACAAATTTGAATCTATACAAACTGAGGATGCTTCCATATTTTTATGACTTATGACTTTAGAAATTTTTAAAAGATTTTTCCTAACAGTTTTATCTTCTATTGTCCCGACCTACCCCTCTAGGACATGATTTGAACAAACTTGGATATCCACTACCTGAAGATGCTTCTTTATTAAAATGTCTGATCATGGTTTACTGTTCTTGAAAACTAGATTTTGAGATTTTTCCTTCTTATCCCCAGGTAAAACTTTGATCGCCCATTGTGACCCCACCCTACTCCCAGGGGTCATGATTTGAAAAAAAACTTGAATCTACACTACCTGAGGATACTTCCATATAAATTTGACCAAGAATGGCTTTGCTGTTCTTGAGAAGAAGATTTTTAAAAGATGCCATTAATTTTTCACCGATTCATAATTATTTCAAACAAAATTACTTTAAATCTAATGACAATTTTTTCTGCGAAATATGGACCTTATAGCAGTAGTGTATACCTCTTTAGCAATCATGACACTGCATTTTGTATCTGATATAATTCTAAATAAAGTAAGCTGCCTGTGGTTCTGATTTCATGTACGTAAGTTACTAGTAAATTGCTGGAATAGTTTTAAATACCTGACCAATGATATTGGGTCCTTGCTACGTTAACTGCTGAGGATGTCTACCAATTAAATCACTTCCTAGCAAGATAAAGAAAACTTGCTAAAACAGTTAAAATCCAAGATCATTGGGCAATATTTTTTATATCCATGTATAATTATATAGAATCTGCAAAAATGAACACATAATAATGTTTAGAGTTGCATCAAGATAAAACACAGCTGTTGATACAGCTTAATGTTTGTTTCCCTTTTCCTTTCCTTCCTTTCATTTTGAAATTAGATGAGTTCTTGAAAACACTTTTTTCACTTGATTTAGCTTCAGAAGTGTTTGCTTCTTTTTTGTTGATATGTTTGTCAGTGTGGCTTGAAAGACTGACAAAAAGCGGTGCTATGGCAACAGTTTTCGTTGATGACGTAGAATCTCGTCTGCTGAACACCGAGCTCGTGCTACTACTATGAGACAGACGATATTCATGAATTAGATGTTTAACGTACGAGTCGGAATCTGAGACTGTAGATGAAAAGCTACAACTCGTAGGTCTCAGGACCGCAATAGGTGTCTCCGGAGTCTGATGGTGATCAGGAAAAGCTGTGCATTGAAAAAAGATATAAATGACATTATAAACTAAATATTTTCAAAATAAGCTCTTTTCACTCCAGAAAAGCATGCATGTATGATTTTTTTTTAAAAAGTAGGCCATTAATGAATAAAGACACTGTTATTTAACTTTACCTTTTATTTCATCGGCGACAAATTTGTATCCTGACTCTTGTAACACATGACAAAAACTAGAAAGCCCATCCTCCTTTGTCGTCAGGACGTCCACAAGTCGATTTACTTTTTGGTCCACTGTTCTTGGAGCCGTGACGTAAGCCTTCGTGACCTCACATAAAATATTTTGGGATACCAGGCTGGGCAACATTGGCTCTAGCTGAAGGTTATCGACTAGGAATGGCATTTTCGATTTCAGAATCTTTTTATGGACGTTGGACATTTGCTTTCCTGTAGATGAAGATCAATATATTAAACTTAAATAGTTTATAAAAGATGAAAAAGAAACGTTATATGATTTCCATAAAATATTGAATTTAACATTTAAATCACCTTTAAGATCTACATCGCACTCTCTCAGTGCTTTGATTATTGTTCCTACAGTTAACTCTTTGGATTCCGTCTTTTCCAGCCACAGACGTATCGTCTGCCAGAATACTTCCTTGGTTCCGTATTCTGAAAATCTCTCAACTTCATCCAACTCGTCATCCTCCAGGTCCAAGTAGCGGCCGAGCTGTCTGATTATAGGGTACGCTAAAACAAGATAAATACAACATTGTATGGTCCAATTAGCGACCGAGCTGTCTGATTATAAATAGGGCACACTAAAACAAGAGAAATACAACACTGTACGGTCCAATTTACGACCCAGCTGACTGATTAAAGGGTACGCTAAAACAAGAGAAATATAACATTGTATGGTCCAATTAACGACCGAGTTGTTTTTTTGTGTTTTTTTTTTTTTTGTTTGAACATATTTTACTGTCTATAAACTTTACAAGTGGGATTGGGCAAAAGTTCTTAAAACTTAATACGCCCTCTCCCTATATATGAATTATACCAAACATATTTACATATATGGGTTTCAGCTTAAAATGAATAAAACACAGAAAAGCATAATAATCAGAGAAACATTATACAATACACAAGCTGTATAGAATTTGCAAGAAGTAATTATTGCATCAACCAAAACGACCTCACTCTTTAATAAATGTTTGTACAATGGAAAATAAGTATTCGTTTTTAACATCGTTTAATACGGAAGCCCGTTGAGGCCAATTCAGAGAAAGAAATATTTTTTATTGCGTTTAAACGCAATAATTATTGCGTTTAATCGCAAAACATTGCGTTTAATCGCAAAACATTGCGTTTAATCGCAATAATCATTGCGTTTAAATGCAAAAGATTGCGTTTAATCGCAATGTATATTGCGTTTAAACGCAAAACACTTTGCGTTTAATCGCAAAAGATTGCGATTAAACGCAATCTTTTAGGTTTAAACGCAATACTTTTGCGATTAAACGCAATAATTTTTGCGTTTAATCGCAATGATATTTTTGCGTTTAAACGCAATAATTTTTGCGTTTAAACGCAATACTTTTGTGTTTAAACGCAATACTTTTTGCGTTTAAACGCAATAATCTTTGCTTTCAAAGGCAATAATCTTTGTGTTTAAAGGCAGTCATTTGTATCAAACCTTGCAGAGTACAATGGACCCACGCATACTTATATCTTTTATTTCTTTCTCTTTTTACTTATTAGGAAATTGTGTGTTGTCTTTATAGAATCAGATTTCTCCGAGCAAACACTCTCTGAAAGGTAAATCACTAATAAGAATTTATAGAGGAGAAAAAAAAATGTCGGGTTGTAAAAACAAAGGAATCCTAAGAACGAGACATGTCTTAAGCTTATTCTCTACATTTTTAGTGAAGTTTCGGTCAGTTGTTCTGCTAAAAAAACTGTCCCATACGTTGCAGTCACAAGTTTAAATCGTATAAAGGGATTTTTGGAAAGGACTGAGGAAATGTTGGAATTACGTACAACATGATGAAGTATTTAGACTTCAATGTACATTCATAACCCTTCCTATGGTTGCATACAGTAAACACAAGAACATATGTGATGGATTTATATGAGGTCAAAATCAAAATCAAATGAAAACAGATTGATCGATGTGTACTACATGTATCAAATTGACAAGTGCTATTAATATCACTGAAACTTTCTCTATAAGTTGTGATACACGTAAGCAATTGATCAGAGACTTCATTAAGAGTTTTGGGTTCTAATACATTTAAGACATTCAGGCTGTTAGGATGCCATTGTTTTATTACAATTTTCAAAAACTGGAAAATTTTGCAAAAAGACACAGAACAAATCGGATCTTCTTAAAGTTGAAGTGTCGGGTCCTAGTACATGTAATTATAAGCTTTGACTAATTCATGTTTGATTTTGAAACTACCGTATCATTGTGTTTAAATGCAAAACAAATCCTTATAAGGAAGGATTATTACGTTTAAACGCAAAGATTATTGCGTTTAATCGCAAAATTATTGCGTTTAATCGCAATACTATTGCGTTTAATCGCAATATTATTGCGTTTAATCGCAATACTATTGCGTTTAATCGCAAAAGTATTGCGTTTAATCGCAAAAATTATTGCATTTAAACGCAAAAAATATTGCGTTTAAACGCAAAAAATATTGCGTTTAAACGCAAAAATATTATTGCGTTTAAACGCAAAAAGTATTGCGTTTAAACGCAAAAGATTGCGTTTAATCGCAATCTTTTGCGTTTAAACGCAAAGTGTTTTGTGTTTAAACGCAATATACATTGCGATTAATCGCAATCTTTTGCGTTTAAACGCAATAATTATTGCGTTTAAACGCAATAAAAAATATTTCTTTCTCTGAACTGGCCTCAACGGGCTTCCGTAGTTTAACGTTTCATCTCTCCAGAGTAATGTGTGAGTATCAACAGTATGTGATTTTCCCATTCTCAGAAACTTATCGAAAAATTCTTTTCTGGTTTCTGTATATTTTTTGCAGGAGAAGAAATAATGATGAGTGTCCTCCGCTCTTCCACAGGAACATAAGGGACTCAAAATTATATTACATCGAAAACGGTCGCTATTAAGTACACAGTTGTGTCGAAGCCTTGTATGTAATATATTTAAACGTCGATTTCCATAACTGAAGTAAGAGGGTGGCATAGTTTTATTATAATAGACTTTTTAAAAATAGATGATGAGGAAGAATTTCTTACAACAAGAGGTAATAAGTTCCATTCATCAATAGCAAGGGGAATGAAAGTTGACTTATAGGTTTGTAATCTGCATTTGGGTATGTTATAGTTATGTGAATTTCTCGTACTGTAACTTGATGAATTACAACGCAAATTTGGAATTATATCAGTCAGACATTCAGGAACTTGATTATTATAAATTTTGTATATTGTAGTTAATCTAGTATTTTTCCTTCTTTCAGGTAATGTTTCCCATCCAGTTTCAAAGTAAAGTGCATCTTGAGAAGCTAACAGAGTTAAGCCTGTGACAATTCTAGCAGCACATAATTGTAATTTTTCTAATTTTTCGCTATCACCTACATTACACCCACCCCACACCAGGGAAGCATATTCTAATTGTGGCCTAATAAAAGTTGTGTACATGAGTGAAAGAGTTTTCCGATTTACTACAAATTTAAGTTTTTTTAATAAGTCCAATTTTTTATACGCATTAGCTAGAATAGTATCAATATGTGTAGACCAACTAAGATCATGTGAGAAAAAAATCCCTAAATGTTTATGCGAAGAGACAAATTCTAGTTGACTTTGCTGGAAGAAGAGTTTAGGATAATTAACACTTCCTCTCAATTTGAAAAATATTGCTTTAGTTTTAGAAGAGTTGAATTTAAGAAGCCATTTTTTCGACCAAATTTCTAGCTTGTTAAGATCATAATTCAGTTTGTTTTCGATAGTATTGACATTTTTAGATGACTGCTGAAGGGAGTTATCATCTGCAAATAATCTACAAAAACTTGTCATTTCTTCAGCAACATCATTTACATATATAAGAAATAATAGAGGTCCGAACACTGAGCCTTGAGGAACACCCGCATATAAAGGTTTTTTGTCAGATAATAAGTTTCTGTATAAAACTCGTTGTGATATACCCTCTATGTAACTCTTTAACCATTGAAACAGATTTCCTTCTATACCATAAGTTCTGAGTTTAAACATGAGACCCTTATGCCATACACGATCAAAAGCTTTAGAAAGATCACAAAATATCATGCAACAATTTTCACCGTTGTCAATAGCTTTAACAATAGTATCATATGTTTCTATTTATATAATAGTGTTATTATTTGGATGTACTATGCCGAAATAGTAGTCAGGGTTTGACACATGGTGCACGAGCCTCCGGCTCGTGCACCATGTGTCAAACCCTGACTACTATTTCGGCATAGTACATCCAAATAATAACACTATTATAATTATTATGCTGACTGTTGTTTGTATACGACAATTTAATTAAATTCTCAATCCCAAACCTGTTTGCAGACGTTAAATCTAAATAAAAATTTTCTTGAACATTCTTTAATCCAGCGTTATACCAAAAAGCGTTTTATTGACTCCGAAGAACCAGTTCACGTTACGTTGCAATTTTGGTTACTGATAAATTCGATTATTTGTTAGAGAATTTTTCTTTAAGATCCTTATCAATAATATCAGTCTTTTAGAAATTATATTCATTTATTTCTTGTTTTGTGACAAATGTATAAAAACTACGTTTATATACTTGAAAATACATTCCGTAAAGTAGCGGTGTTTGTGGCGTAATCGGTAACACGTTGGACTGACGTTCTCGAGATCGTGAGTTCGATCTCCAGCGTGGGTGCTAAATACATTTTCTCTAGAAAAGACAGCCGTGCACTATTTCGGCATAGTATGCTTACGCTATATAAATCCTTAGAACACTATGCGAAAATAGTTGGGTATTGATTATATAGAGACAAACTGACAGGAAGCATAATAATAGTTGATATACAGTGGAGTGACCTGGTAGAAATCCAGCTTGGTATTTATAAAAAAGTTTGTTATCATGAAAGTGATTATACAAGTGTTTAAATATGATTCGTTCCATTACTTTACCAATACAACTTAACAATGACACGGGTCTATAATTAGACATAATAGAAGGATCATCTTTCTTAAATAAAAGGAGAACATTAGCAACTTTCCATTTACAAGGAAAAATACAATCAACTAATGACCTGTTAAACAATAAACAGTTTTACAATAGTATACATTGTGGATTTCAACATCTTGTGACTAATATTGTCTGGGTTGTCCGAGTTGTCTGATTATAGGATACGCTAAATATAGGATCTCCCATGATTTGTAGTTGGATATGATTTTTATCCATAGAGTTGTGTGTTTTTTATCCCCGAGCCTTGGCGAGGGGATAAAAACACACAACTCGTTGGATAAAAGTCATATCCAACTACAAATCATGGGAGATTCTTTTTATCCCATGTTTAATACTTCACAACCAATGTTTTACACTGTTTTATATAGGACTCCACTTTATTTTACTTCATCACGCTAACGCAAAAACCATTGTGACGTCACAACTGTGGATTATGAAAAAATTATCCAATGAGTCATATCCACGGGATAAAGGGGTAAACATGGGATAAAACAAGAGAAATACATCAAGTGAGGTCCAATTAACGACCGAGCTGTCTGATTAAAGGGTACGCTATAACAATAGAAATAAGATTGTACGGTCCAATTAACAACCGAGCTGTCTGATTATAGAGAAATACAACATTGTATGGTCCAATTAACGACCCAGCTGTCTGATTAAAGGGTACGCTAAAACAAGAGAAATATAACATTGTACGGTCCAATTAACAACCGAGCTGTCTGATTATAGGGTACGCTAATACAAGAGAAATACAACATCGTACAGTCTAAGTAGCAACCCCCCTGTCTGATACGCTAAAACAAGAGAAATACAACATTGTATGGACCAAGTACGGTCTATTAACTACCCAGCTGTCTGATTACAGGGTACGCTAAAACAAGAGAAATACATCATTGTATGGTCCAATTAACAACCGAGCTGTCTAATTAAAGGGTACGCTAAACCAAGAGAAGTACAACATTGTATGATCCAATTAAGGACCCTCTCTTCACTAAACGAAAATGTTTTTTGGACATTGAGAAAATTATATTGTATAAAGGTGTAAATATTGAGCTTATTTATATCGTTTTCAACATTGGTTGCCTGGCTTTTACCCCCAGGAGAAATGTTCAAAGGCAACAAAGTTTTGATGAACAGAAATCACTGTTGTTTACATAAGTTGGGAAAAAGCATGCAGATGAGGTGTTCAATTAATTTATCATGGCCTATCAAAATGTTAAGAATGCTTGAATTGATTAGAAATTGATTGATAAACTGTAGATTACAATTTATTTCATTTTAGATCTAAGGGCAGATTACTCTAACTTCATAAAAATACCACAGAATCAGAACTCTTTAGTGCGCAGTGTATAGAGGGTTCTTAACGACCGAGCTGTCTGATTATAGAGAAATACAACATTGTATGGACCAAGTACGGTCCAATTAACGACCGAGCTGTCTGATTATAGTGTAAGCTAAAACAAGAGAAATCCAACATTGTATTGTCTATGTAGCAACCGAGCTGTCTGATTATAGGATACGCTAAAACAAGACAAATACAACATTGTATGGTACAAGTACCGACTTACAATGTAGCTGTCTGATAATAGAGTACACAAAAACAAGACAAATATAGTTAACAACCAATCTGTCTAATTATAGGGTATGGTTAAACAAGGCAAAGAACGATACATTTCTGAACATTTGAAAGAGAGAAGATTCTGATAAATTGAAATTGTTTCTCGAAGCAAAAGAGTACTAAGACAACAATAATCAGTCCTATAAGATGGGGGTTCGTTTTACTGTAGATTCTTCACTATACGCGAGGAATTGATTATCGCGTAACTCGCGCCACTCGCGGAATAAAATTACTCGCTTTTATTTTTATGGAGCTAAACTCCATGTAAAACCTAGAACAAACGATCACTCGCGAAATATTGATTTGATGTCAAAGGGATTTCGCGATATTAAGTACTCGCGTAAAATAAGGAATCTACAGTACTTATAATAAAAGGTACATATCCTCCCCCTTTTCTCAGAAGTGCTACGTTAATTCCTTGACGACCCCCCCCCCCCCCCATGTTACATACAGTTAAATTTACCTATAACATCCTGGTACCTCCTTGCCACTCGGCGGATGTCACGGGGAAACTGCTGTTTACTGACTTTTCTTTTACGCACCGGTGAACTCTGTATTTTGTTTATACCCTCACACAGAGTGATCAATGTTGTCTGGATGTCCTTCAGTTGTAGTTCAGTAGAGGCATATTCTCCAGATCTAACCTAATACATGTTACAAGTACCTGTCAGTATGTTTCAGTTTTTTTTTTCAAAAGAACATAACGTATTTTAAATATGAATGGTCTAAATTGTTCTCTTTTTTTGTCTTGGATCTTTTTTATTCTTTGTTATCACTTCGCATCAGAATATAAAATTACTACATGTACGTATATATGCACATCGAAGAGGTGAAGGTAGTGATAAATCAAGTCTTAAGGACAGATGATACAAACAAACTTTTATCAAAAATCTTGAAAATAACAACTTAAGCCAAGTTTATATAAGTAAAATGAATAAGTTTAACCGCATAGATTTTCTTTTTTCATTCAAAGTTTCACAACAGTGGGATTTTAGGTGACAAAAATTTGTTTCTATAGATTAATAAGAATGTTTACAGAAAGGTGGAAATTTGAACATAATATGAAGTTTACAATTTCTTAAAAGTTTTGAAATTTACTATTCTAATCATTTACAACCAAAATAGGTCCAAAACTATATACCAATCCAGGCATCCACTATTTTGTCTGTGTCATCCGTCCTTAACCGGGACTCAAACTCATGGCCGCTGGCGCTCTAACCACTGAAGTTTCTTTTAATAATTGATATTAAAGTTAGAAAGATATATTTTGGGGTAAGCTACTTAATGCTCAGAGTTCTAATTAAAATAATCTACAAAACTTTTATGTGCATTGGAAATATATAGGAATCCATGGTGTGATTTTGTTCAGAAAATTTTAAGTTTAAGCAAGCATTGTTTAGTGAAGTACAAACTTATATATATATTTATATATATATATATATATATATATATATATATATATATATATATATATATATATATATATATATTTTAAATCATTATTCTTTGAAGAATATTTGTTGAATTTGCCTATTATTATGAACTGGGAATACAAAAGTAATGATGGTTTAACATCCCTAGAGAGAATAGAATTTGTAAATTATGTAACTGCAATATTGGTGATGGATTTCATTACTTATTTAAATGTACTGATGTATCTATAAAGAACTCTCGAGTTATGTATTTACCAAAGATTTTTCAATCGAATCCAAATGTTTTGGAATTTGAAATGCTTTTTAATGCAACAAATATCAATTAACTTTGCAAAATGTTTAAACTGTTGGATATTATAATTGAGAGAGTTGGCTCTCTTGGTTAATTGAACTCTGTTATCCCTTATTCAAGCATGTAATATTTATTATATTGTTTGTACACTTTGTACATTTGTACACATTGTATCTTCACTACACTTTTTTTTCAGTTATAGGAATAAAGTTCATTTGTCATTGTCATTGGTGCTCTAACCACTGAGCTATTGAGACCCGATATGATGACTGATTCTCAAAGACCCGTTAACCCGGTGATATATATATATATATATATATATATATATATATATATATATATATATATATATATATATATATATATATATATATATATATATATATCCATACGTGTGGAGACAGCTGTTTCGCTATCTGGGTTTCCTCAAACTTCCAGATGTACCGCTTAAAGGCGTCACCATCAAGGGAATCGATATACACCGGAAACTCTGAAATTAGAACAAAATCGATAACTAGGAGCGACATCCAATTCAGTTGTCAACAGACAGAAAAAAAACTTATGTCATTATTATGAAGGAAATTTATAACATAATATTCATTTGACGACATTATATCATATGATCAGTAAAAGATCATTAAAAGGGACTCATGTTCATGAATTTTAATACCAGGTGAATACAAGGCGAGGATGAAACAATTTACATAAATGTATCTCTCAACAGAAGTTACATTTCTCAAAAATTGTGTTGTAATATCACCTTTTATACAGTTCATTATCTTATTTCATTGAATTACTTATTGATAAATAATTTATCTTTTTATTCTACACACCTCAAAAGTTATGTTTAAAGGTGTGTGGAATAAAAAGAGTCTCAAAAATGATTCGTACTCTCTCCAAAGCTCGCGTTAAGGCGTAATGATAAACGCATTTACCACTATGAATTTATTTTGAGAAATGTTCGATTTTCATTTATTAAATGGACATAGACTCCATTTTTTTTAAAACATAAAATAGATTTTACATTTATTTTTTCATATTCACTGTTTTTCCTCCCAAGAATATTTTCATCAATTAAACCTTTCTTAAAAATTAGTGAATTGTGCATTCCACTTCTTGAAGTATGCGACTTCTTTATGAAATGGGTGAAACTTAACATAGAATCAGAAATTAATGTAAATGATAAGAGATAATTTAATGTTGCGTTTCGTTCGTACATAAACTACATTAAGTTAAAAAAAACAAAAGTATAACATGTATATAAATGTTCTATTCTGCTTCTGTTTTATTTACCGTATACCGGGTCTTGAAGTACATGACACACATTTTCCGACAAAATGGTCACATCATCGTTCCACTGAATTGATTGTAGTTCTGGAAAAGGGTCCGGGATCCGAGCCAGTTCATGTTGTATAATGACAGTCTTCTTCCCAAGATCCAAAGCTAGGGCCAATTCATACAAGTGGATTTGTTGATTAATAAACTCGGATGTTACTATGGCGATAAAAAATTTACTGTCAAGAATCTGACCTCTCGAAGTTTGGTAATGAAATTGTAGACATGTGTTACTTGAAATGATGACGTCATAGTGCCCATTCCTCAAATGGTCCTTTATTCCATTAGCAAAATAAATGTCCTTATTGGAACAAGATATATAGCAACATCCATCCATACCACAATGTCATACAATAATGTGAAAACATCTATCAAATGAGTGATTTTTATAGACTTTCCAATGCGTTGTTTATATTTTTATTCATCGAGTTCACTCGTGCTCATCTATCGATAGTTGTATTTAAACAACACCGGAAACTCTCCTTATTATTAAATAAAAGCACATGTACACTCCCTTCTACACTATAAAAATAGATCTCTCGTATTCATTGTGGTTTTTAAAAGCAAGTGATTTAAAATGTATACACCATGTGGGCGTCTAAATGTGTGCTCCTTTAACCTTGATACTACACTGTATTGTACAATACACAAGATAACTCATTAGTGATAAAAATAATTTATTACGTATCACAGATACACACACAAAAGGTCTCAGACCTTTTATTTCTCCTGTTAAGGAATCTGATAAGATTTAGGATACACATCTTTTAACAAACCTGCTTAAATTTCGTAATAATGTACATACATGTCTACATATGAAACTTAAAAATGCCACCAATATACTAATTGAAAGAATTATCCTTCACTGTATGGTGTCCATTACTATATCTGTAATTATATATATATTATGTATGTTATATTTTTATGCCCACTTGGGCCCTGATTTGGTAATAAATCCTATTCTATAACTCTTCCATGAATATCATCGTAATATTTGTCCAAATATTAACCTATATTTACAATGTCCAGACGTACAAGACATGAGGAAACCAGAAGTCTCTGATGAGACTGTAGCTCTACTGGTCTGTTTGTATAACAAAAGAAAAGTAGCACTTGGATTTGAAACATTGCAACATGCAACAATAAATAGAATTATGTATCTTAATGTAGTCTACTTTTGTGACAAGTTATATTGAAATCAAATGAAAACTAGGAGTAGTAGCGTTTTGAAAGTATTTCACGGAAATTTCTATTTTTAGTACCGGTAACCATGACAACACCACTCACCCAAATAAAAAAAAACAGAAATACATATTATGTGTCGTAGTGTATTCTAACTGTGTGCCAAATTAGATTGAAATCAGACCAAAATTGTAGGAGGAGTAACGTTTTAAAGGAATTTCACAGAAATTTCTATTTTAAGTAACCATGGCAACACTGTTCATCAAATTCAAAAACCAATGCAATAAATTATGTATCTTAGTATAGTCTTCTTGTATGCCTAATTATATTAGAAGCAGACTAAAACTGTAGCAGGAGTAGTGTTTTAAAGGAATTTCACAGAAATTTCTATTTTTAGTAACCATGGCAACACCATCCATCGAAATCAAAAACCGATGCACTAAATTATGTATCTTAGTGTAGTCTACTTGTGTGCCAAGTTATATTGAAATCGGACCAAAACTGTAGGAGGAGTAGCGTTTTAAAGGAATTTCACAGAAATTTCTATTTTTAGTAACCATGGCAACACCATCCATCGAAATCAAAAACCGATGCACTAGATTATGTATCTTAGTGTAGTCTACTTGTGTGCCAAGTTATATTGAAATCGGACCAAAACTGTAGGAGGAGTAGCATTTTAAAGAAATTTCACAGAAATTTCTATTTTTAGTAACCATGGCAACACCGTCCATCGAAATCAAAAACCGATGCACTAAATTATGTATCTTAGTGTAGTCTACTTGTGTGCCAAGTTATATTGAAATCGGACCAAAACTGTAGGAGTAGTAGCGTTTTAAAGGAATTTCACAGAAATTTCTATTTTTAGTAACCATGACAACACCGTCCATCGAAATCAAAAACCGATGCACTAAATTATGTATCTAAGTGTAGTCTACTTGTGTGCCAAGTTATATTGAAATCGGACCATAACTGTAGGAGGAGTAGCGTTTTAAATGAATTTCACAGAAATTTCTATTTTTAGTAACCATGACAACACCGTCCATCGAAATCAAAAACCGATGCACTAAATTATGTATCTTAGTGTAGTCTACTTGTATGCCAAATTATATTGAAATCGGACCAAAACTGTAGGAGGAGTAGCGTTTTAAAGAAATTTCACAGAAATTTCTATTTTTAGTAACCATGGCAACACCGTCCATCGAAATCAAAAACCGATGCACTAAATTATGTATCTTAGTGTAGTCTACTTGTGTGCCAAGTTATATTGAAATCGGACCATAACTGTAGGAGGAGTAGCATTTTGAAAAATTGTTTACAGACAGACGGACAGACAGACAGACAGACAGACAGACGGACGGACGACGGACACCTTACTATCGCATAAGCTCTTCTGGTCTCTGACCAGTAGAGCTAAAAATTAATATTAATGCCTTACATGTACATATATATTGTTAATCGTTTGGGCTTGGTTGCAGATAGTTGTTTCAATTTCATTAACAGTCATCCCTTGAGTCTGTTTTTAATTGAGGTTAATTAAACGTTATCTGCCAAAGAGAAAGAACTCTGATAAATTACTAGATGGTTTGTTTATTAATACAATTTTTCATCTCTAACAAATATTTGTGTCTTTTGTTATAACAATAATTTCTTTTTCATTTACATCTTCTGTATAAAAAAGAATTAAAAATATTAAAAAAAAAAAAAAAAAAAGAATTACATTTTGTGGTCAGTAGATTATTCTCCCTTGTCTGGTATTTCAGTATGTGAGAGCATTTCATTTATACGTCTTAGCAATTTTGCAATATTTACCCGAGTATATTTCATTAATTCCTCTAAGCAATTTTGAGATATTCATGCTCTTTGTTTCTTTTAAAAGAGTAACGATGTTCAGATTCAATGTCAATTCTTTTTCTACAAGTAAGATTCTTAATTTGAAATGAAACCCATATTCATTCAGGAAGCATGCAGCAACTAAGAGCTCCGGTCCGTTGTATAAGTTCATTGTTTTATACACAGCTTTAACTGTTTAACAATGTTTAAGGAAAGTTTTCGATGAGTCGATTTATGAACAATTGTTTCAGCAAAGCCTTCATAAAGTAACATTTAAATAACAATACGTAGCTACTAAACAATATACATGTACACAAAGCATCTACTTATATTTAATAGATAACTTACACTGAATTGGTTCCAACAATTGTTCAAGTACATGAACATGTAACTCGACCAAATTCAGTTAAGTTGTGCCAATGACCATGAAAAATGTCCACCATATTTCATACCTAATATTGAAGAAAACATTTTCGGTAGTTTTCTGTATGTCAAGTCTTTATGGAAAAAAAAATACTAGGAGGAAAGATGTTATTTAATATTAATTGCTAACGGAGAAATTCGGCCTTAGGTACAACATAATATGGATCAAATGTAATATAAATCACTGTAACGTATTTCACCCCCCCCCCTCCACCCCAAATGGCTGTTTAAAAAAAAAAAAAAAAAAAAAAAAAAAAAAAACAGCATTCTAAAATTGTTTTGATTAATGATATTAATGGCATCATTGATAGTTTCGATTCAGTAAATTCCATTTCATATAGCTTGTTGTATCAAAGTAACGTAGGTCACAAGGAGATGAAAATTTTAAAATTCTACAGACTATATTGGAATTTTTGTTCCCCGCTTTCAGTGAAAGTGGGGGATATTAATTTGTGTTTGTTCGACCGTCCGTCTGTCATTCTGTCCGTGTGCAAGACTTTCGTTTCCGTGAAAGTGGGGGATATTAATTTGGGTCTGTTCGTTTTCCAGTACCTCAGGTTTTCTTTGGGCTTTTCAATGGAATTTTATATCATAACTCTCAATGTCTTAACAAACACCCCAAATGACTTTGAGATCAGAAAATCAAAGGTCAAGATCGCAAATTTCATTTACTGCAAAAAATGGTTTCCAGATGATAACTTTGGTTCTCTTTCAGCTTTTTTCAATGAAATTTTATATAATAACTCCCAATGGCTTAGAGAAGAGCCCTATTGATTTTTGGTAAAAAAAAAAATCAATGGTCAAAGTCACAAATTTCATATCTTGCAAAAAATGGTTCCTGGTGATAAATTTATTTTTCTAAGAAGTTTTGCAATGAAATTTTATATCTTTCGTCAATATGAATTAAAAAAGACATTTATTGATTTTGAGGTCAAAAGGTCAAAGACCAAGGTCAGAAATTCATATATGGAACACTGTACACAGTTTTCAGATGATAACTTATGTTTTCTCTCTGTTCTTTCTCTTTGCAATGAAATGAACGGTCATGAATTTCTTTGACTTAAAAAAGACCCCTGTTGACTTTAAGGCTAAAAGCTGAAAGGTCAAGTCAAGTCTTTTTTTAATCACTGTCTGCATTTTTTCTGATCTTCCACCCTTTTCTTTTTTCCTTAAACAGGGGACACTGAATTAGCTTGTCAATTTCATGCATTTGTTTAAAACAGAAAATAAATATTTTTACTACAATATATTTTCAACAAAGGATTATATAACAAAGAAAGCGTCAAAAGTTACTGTGTTTCATGGCAAAAGAATTTTGTAAGGTACATGTAAATCAAAAACTTTTTGTGACAATGAGATATTACAAATTTTCATTTTAGAACTTCTCTAGTAATTGCTGTTTAATACAATATTTTTTTTCTATTTTACATCTGTGATAAGAATTGATGAGATATATTGGTTATGATTATATTTCCTAGCAATGACACAATTTTCTATTTGTACAGTCAGTTAGAGACACAAGTTTTCAGAGAGTTTTCAATACTTCTCTGCTTCAAAAAACCTTAATATGATATATTTCACAGTGATTTTGTTTGTTTGTTTGTTTTTTTTTTTTCAGGTAAAAGTACCTTTATTCTTTGAAATAAAACACTTTCCTTGTGAATGAAGCACTATAAAAATATTCCTTTTTGTTTGTGACAAGAAAATTTAAGTTTGGCACAACTTAACTGAATTGGATGAACTCTACCTATATTTAGCATACCGGTCTATATTTCTGTGTGCCAACATGGTGGCAATTCTGCAAAATCAAAAACCTCAGATCTCACACTAAAACAACAAAGGAAGATTAAGTGAACTGTAATGAAGCTTTAGCCATATATATCACAGTAAAAGAATACCTGGAATAAGGACAACACTACAATAAGTATAATGTATAGTCACAAATGTTTAGGGAAAATAACAGGTTTCATGTAAGACAAAAACACAGTGGTCCAGCAAGTTTCACTTGTTGATTGTTAACAGTCAGGTGTGGACATTTGATGTCTTTTGATAAAAATAGGAGAAATTGTGAACCACTTTCCTTCAATGATGTACATGCTTCACAGCCCACTACTGACACTAAACGTGTTTTCTGTCAAATTATACAAGACAAAATGGCTGTACATTAAATATTAAATATTTATATAAGCTCAATAGTTAGGGATATGTAGGGAATACATATATACACTCTTTGTATCTCTTACAGTATCTTTATACATGTATTGAAGTATGCTTCAATGAATTATTAAAATAATTTCAAATATGTATAGACATACATGTACATTAAAATTCAGTAAAAATGATAAAACAATTTGTTTGCACAGTTCAGTTGCATCTTATTTTGTAAAAACAAGCTTATATAAAAATGATAATGATGATCACATACACATACAGAATACATAATAGATGATTTTATTACAAATAAAGTTTTCCTATGCAATCTAAAAATAGGTAAATATAAAAATTTTGGTGTAAAATGCCCAATGATTTTGTTCACCTTTTCACTTATATGACAACCTTTCTATTTTTGTAATTTAGAAGTGATATGCTCACTTTTTGCTACCTATTTTCAATACACACAATAAAATGTTTTGTTCACAAAGTTCATTGATTTCATGAATATTTGATTTAACCTTTTTTTATCTAAAATTTCTCTCTTCGAAAGTCTAAAATTAAGCTAATAATAGGAGTGATTTAATCCATTCTTCCTATAAAATAGTCAAAAATGTACAATAGCAACTTAAAAGGTCATATATATATTTAAAAAAAACAACTCTTGAGAATGATGAGGTATTATAAAGGGCATACTGTGGACAGGATCTACTGTGGAGTCACCACTGTATGCACTACAAAGAAGACTTTCACAGAGAATACAGATAAAGGTGAGAGTTTCCTATCACTACAACAATGCCAAGGCAGAATGTTTGATTGCAAGGTTCTCTGTGACAAAGCCTCAATCAACATCCAGGCTTCTTTCGACAGCATGATCAGTGTTCTTACGTCATTATATTTTTGTGACAGAGTAGTCTCCCTTCTATTTGCATATGGCACAGCTACCTCTTTCAAAATCCTATTGATAGACTGCTCTCCCTTTGAATTCCTATAAATCAGTGACGTCTTTCATAAGATTGATGACAGATTGATCTCCCTTTAGCATGATTATCATACAGTGACACCTTTCAAAATCCTGATGACAGAGTGATTTCCCTTTCATGTTCCAATAACACATCAAGTGGTAGCCTCCTGATGATAGAGTGATCTCACTTTCATGTTCCAATAACACATCCAGTGGTAGCCTCCTGTAGGTAATGGTTGTTACTGATCTGTAACATTATCTCATCATCTGTTGGTTCCTTAAGACTTTCCCTACAACATTTTAAGATGGAAAATATTAATAAAATTTTAAAAGTTAATGTTTAAATTTTGAAGTCCCGGTGTTCAATGGTGACAAAGAATCAAATTTTAATATCATATTGAATCCTATTGACATTGAAATGCTGAAAGAAGTAAATTTTTATGATCAGTGAATTCTACTCACCTGAACATATCATGTACAGACATAAAATGATGAGATTCCTCAAAGTCTGAATTTCCTCTGCTCCTTCTAGAGCCACTCTTGTCCCATTTCATTATGAAATTCTATGATACAGTAGAAAAATCAAATAAAGATGCATGGATAAAAGAAAGCAGTTGAAATTCTGATGATTTTATGCAAAAATATGCTGAGTTCAACAAACATGTATGTATAGATTTTTATTTTCAAAGAAATTTTATAGTAAGTAAATTATATTACTCTTTACATGCAAGCATTCATGAAAAAATAAACTTACTTCAATGATAAGAGCGGTAAACAGTTGCATCACTATGACAACAGAAAACAACCACCAAACAACAAAATACAAATAGGACCACCTGTAAATGAATACTATGTTTTAGTAATCAAAAACAAAATTAATGTAGAATGAAGACTTCTCCCCGATTTGCTTTGAAAAATAAAAAAAAATGTACATGTATATACACACAGAAAAATCATCTACAAGTATCTTCTTATACTGTACTCATTTAAACTTGAACTTTGATAAAGGAAAGCACAATAATACAAATCTCACTCTGTTTTTGCCTCTGCATAAGCTTTCAGAAACACACTCCAATTATTAACCACCATTATATCCCATAGCACCACAAGAGCAGCCTGTAAAAGAGAAATTTACTTCAAAAGATCATCAAGTCCAAAGAAGTGGATGGGGTCTAGAGGGACATGGCCTTCCTCCCTATTTAATATACAATATCTCTTTTCCAACGACAACCATCGTCGCAAACCACCGCCATAATGTACGATCCTCTCCCATTCTGGCTGTGGCTGAATGAGAAGAGAATATTTCCCAGCTCATTAAAATATTGACCAATGCGAGTAAAGCATAGTCAGATGATGACTTTGATGCAAAGTTTCAATACCCAAATGCAGTATACGAAACAATTCTTGTATACTGTTGATGTCAGTTATTGATTTCAATTGCGATGGAAACAAATATTGTCATTGGCTGAACATGATGTCACAACATAGAGGCGTAAATATTCAAGATTACGACACTTTTTGTGATCAAGCAGCCACAGGTAGGAGAGAGCTATATGTGGACTCCAGACCGTGGCTTGAGACGATGAATTACAACAGATGTTGAAAGTAATCCTGTAATGAACCATTGCATTTGCAAATCTTTGACAGAAAGTATGTAGTCAGTGCATGCTTTATTACTCCCCCTCCCCCACTCCATTCCCTTTTCTCATTTTTTTTCCCACAATATTATTGCCTTGTACATGGCATACCCCCCCCCCCCCCTTTCCCTCTCCAAGCTTGATTACTATTGTAAATATCTAAGACTAATGGATTCAATGGTTTTTAAATATAAATGTTTCTTACTGCACAGTATACTTACTGCAAAGTCATCAAAGTTGTTGGCCCAGTAATTAAGCTGCTGATAAGACCCACATTCAAAATCCAACCTATTAATGGAAATAAAATCTGTAAAATCATGTTTTGTTAGTCGATTTTCAGATTTGAAGAAAATCTTGATACTGTATAATTCATTGATGTTTGTAAAAATCAATAATTTACTGTTTTTGAGAGAAATTTGCCATTTGGAAGTTCCTAATTTAAATACTGCAGCATAAGATTCACATCATATATGGACTACATTTATTTTCCAACATGCTGTAAATGGCCTTACCCTGTGTCATTGGAGGGGTTGTATTTGATAGAATCATGGAAGATTTCAATACCAAGTATAGCAAATGAATAATATATAACCTGAAAAGAAAAGTAAATGTGTAATCAAGTCTTTACTATCAAAAAATGTCAAGGAATTTCACATTTGCACATAATTAATTACATTAAAATAATCTATGCATCAATCTTTTCCAATGTATATATTAGTACTAGCACATCCAATTGCGTGAATCAAAGCTGAACATTTTGCCTTCACCTAATTATGCTACTTTTAAACTTGTTGCTATTTTGCTACTATTAAGTAGGGAAAACAGATAATTCAAGGGAGACAATTAATGATTGATTTGTACTCACAATTAAGATTCCAGCAAATGCCTTTAAATTCTTAACTAGATCTACCAGTGTAGCAGCTACAATAGTCATAGCCTGGAAAAACAAAGGGTACAGTCTAAAAAATATAGAACCAGATTAAAAATGACCCTAGAACTTCTGTGTTTTCTGTTCTTTGTGTGTAAGACATTGAAATGTCTGAATGTTAATTTGGAAAATAATCTGGCGATAGGCTTGGGAAACATTTTTCTTGCTCAGATACACAGCTGGCTCTATCCGTTGCAACTAATTGTTTACAACATTGTTTGAGGTGCCATTTTGTGTCGTCACAATGCACTGATCCTCCAGTGAATATCATTTTTTTATATGGCTTCAATTCTAGTGAATTTTGTAGCGTTATGAACCTTTCCTTTTGCATTTGTATAGATTATATAGGGACTATACATGTAAATAGACTTCATAATAAAAAAAGCTTGTGAACTCTGACCTTTATGTTAGGTATTATGCGTAGCAGTCTGAACAGGATGAGAATGTTGATGATGCGTACAACATTCCACACAATAGGAGTATCATGAACCTGTTTGGAGCCGCTGTAAAAGAATTACACATGATACTTTATATACTTATATACTAGACACTTATACATTACATTAACTTTCAAGACAATAACACAAAGCTCATATATATAAAACAAATATTTTTACTTCTTCCAGTAATAACGAACATGCAACTACAGTAATGTGAATTACGTCATTTTTACCTGAGTGGAAACCCGTAATATCCGACGGCAAAAATCTCAGTAACCTACATGTATTAAAGAATGTAACCAGACTTAAATCAATCTCTGTCATAACTGTCTAAAAGTATTTTTTAAAATTTTCATATTTTAATGTCTTGTAAACATGAAGAATATTCGAACATACCACAAGTATCACAGTAATGATGCCGTCGTAAATATTCCAGTATTCTGACACATATCTCCTCCCTCCGAGACAAATAAACTTAACGACTTGTTCAACCAAGTAGTATATCACAAAAGTAAAGTTCACAATCTGCAACAGAAATGCATGGCAAGGTGTTATACCATGTTTAAGAAATGAAGGCTTTAATGATATACAGTAAAACATGCTAAGAGCAAAGTGCCTGGGACAAAAAATATTGACTCATTATAAATGTACATGTAATTTGTTATATCTATTCAACTAAAAGGCATAAAAATCACTCTGGGTGTAAAATAAAATTGACATGTTTATAAAACACTAAGAAAATTATTTATTTATTTACTCACATTCAGATTAGATGTATTTCCACCCAAACTTTTATCATATTCAACAGAGAGCTCAGCCTGGAGTGAAAATAGAAATATTAGTTATCAATCACTTCCTGCGGTTCAACTTGTCCTTTCAAAAGTAGCATTCAAATTTCTGTGTCTGCAATTTATGTAGTTACTGTTAATACTTAAGATATGGGCCTTGAACACATGCATACATATTTTGAAATTAGTATTTTGTTATTTTAAATAAACCACAAAGTTCCGCAAAGAAAGGAAAACTGCCATAATTATGCTGCATGAATTTGAAAAAACATTAAACACTAAAATCACTTACTGCAATCACAATAACATTGGCCGTGGCGACTAGATTGCCAAAGTAACCAAAGAATCTGTGTGCCACACATCTCTGTAACCTTCTTATCCAGGGGTTCGAGAACCATCGAATCTCTGGTTTCTGTTAACAAAGCATCAAATTCACAGAAACAAGTTAAGAAATGAAATTCAGTAAGCAAAAGCATTAATCAAAGGCAGGATCAGTAGTTGTACCTGTTTCTGAGGAGGGTCTATTCCAATGGCATCAAAACAAGCCTGGAATTCTGTCAGAGAGAGATAGTTGTCGGCCATTACTGCCTTCCTATCCAGATCCTACAGGCAGAAATATCCATAGTCATCAATTCAACAAGTCACAGTAACACTTGGTTATAAAGAACTCGCTTATAAGGAAATCTTGGTTATCAGGACACCTTAAGGAATCCCAAAGAAGAGATTACACTAAGTTCCCTATACTGAAAATAATGATTCTCGGTTATAAGGCAGTGAAATTCAAGTCCTTCTGACTTACTTATAACTGAATTTTACTGTTAAGCAATCACTCAAGAGAGTGAATTCAGTTTTTTTTTTCAGCAGGAAGTTCTTAACTTTTATATTAAAACTTTGTTTATAATGATTAAAACTTTATCTGCATAGCATTAAAACTATTTCTTTTTCATCCATCTACTGAAGATTCCTAATTATATAACGAAGAATAAATTATCACGTAATTTTGCAAGAAGCATCACTCATGGAATAAATTTACTCGCTTTTATTTTTATGGTGCTGAAATAGTAAAATCTCTTGATCAATCATCCAGTTGTGAATTATTTTCTCCCGATTTGACGTCTAAGAGTCATTTTGTGATAAGTACTTGGGTAAAATAAGAAATTTACAGTATTTAGGAACTAAATTAGTCTACAAAAATAATGGAATTTTGTTCAGTGATTTAAACCAAAAATTTAATAAGGCAGATAATATGAACTCGCAAAATTTCTAAAGGATCATGTGCAGAAAACAAAAGACAACTCACTGTTCTTAATGCTGACTTGACATGTTGAGGTAAATCGGCATGTTCTACTATGGTTTTCACATTGTACAGAGAAACACCATATCTACAACAGAGATGGAACAATCAATTCATACTCCTACTCCTTCTGTTCATATTTATTCAATATGACATCAAAAGACCTAATAATTTCATATTTTTGCATTGTTTAATTTATATGTTAAAAAAATTGTTTGTACTAAGCCTCTCCATCTAACAGAAATACCTGGCATTTCAATTCCAAGCATCAATCATTCAAGTACAAGTAAACAGCCTCCGTTAACAACAAGATAAGAATTTGTCAATTATTTGGAAGATATAAATTCTTATTCATATGCAACAATAAAAAAAAGCAATACTTAATGGTATGTAAATCAAAACAATGGTAAACACTGGCAGCTGACAAAAGAGCATTTTTCTAAATTAACAAGTAATTTCTCACTAATTTATAAAGAACATACCATAAAAATCCCCCCTTCTCCCTGATTTTCTAACCTTTGTTCAGAGGGAGAGATGTTGGAGTGAGTGTTCGTCTCTTTCAGGACCTCATAAGCTGCTCTTACTCCAACCCTCCTCCTCAAAAGATCAGACTGCATCGAGGTCTACAATAATGTGTGACAAATATAATGTATAGTACACTGCAAATTAAGTCCGGCTGAGAATGTAAAGCAAGAGCAATATATTGAGTAGATTTGCATCAACACACCACAAAATAATTCTGTAAACTATGCTTAAAAAAGAGTGAAAAAAACTGATACAAAAAAGATTTTAGAGTTAAATAAGATTAGTCTGAGTTTCAATCTTGTTATTAAATGCTTTTTAAATATTTCTTATTTACCTGGAAATATCCTCGGAACTGGTTGTAAATAACAGCCAGAAGCATGTTCATAAAACAGTAGTTCCCTGGGTGCAAGAAAAGAATGAAAATAAATCAGAATTTTAAATCTTTTATGCATGCATAAAATACATGTGTAACACTAATTGCTTTTGTTGTTTGGTGTTGTTATAATGTACTAATGGCATGACAAATACCGTATATACTCGCCTATAAGTCAGTTTTTTGGGAGTTAAACTTTGATCCAAAACTCATTATCCGACTTATACGCGAGTTATAAAAAGACTGGTATTTTAGTGGGTCAATCCCTTCAATTTAAGCTTTAAAAATACAACCGACTTATAGGCGGACCGACTTATAGGCGAGTATATACGTTACATTGTATTTTTTTAAATAAATGTTCTATAGAGCAGTTTTATCAGGAAATGATGTACATGTATCTCTAAAATAAAACAGATTCTTACCAATAAGGAGAAACAAGATGAAATATAAAGAGTACAATCTGTTTTGTTGGTATACAGGCATCATTACTGAATAGGGAAAAAAAAGAATGACTTTAATATGAGCTCATCTTTTCGATCTAAATTCATAAATGAAAAACAGAATTTGATTGATTATTTTAAGAAATTATGGATAAACTAAATAATTGAAATTAAATTAAGTAATGGAAGAAACACTTTTACTGCTCACCATCAGGGTTGTTGGCTGTTGTGAGGAGAACCAGGAGATTCATGAAGGAGTCGAGTAAACTACGGAAATATTTATCACCTTCTCCTATCTTAGAAATAAAATTTAGTGATATTAATAAACAATGCAATACCGTTGTTAGAATCCATCCTTTACCTAGTGCATATAACTCAACAACATTTATGATGAGCAATTATGGTTCAGTCCGACAAAGTTCTACATTGTACTGGATTATGATGCAAAGTGTTGAATGAAAACACATTTTACAGGACAAAATTTAAGAATTAGGAATGAAACTTGACTTAATTACCACAGTTGTAGAGTTAGAGGGGGAGGGAGTGGTAGTGTTTGACAGCAAGGCAGATACACCATCAGTAATATTGCTCATCTCATCATAGGGCTGAAACAATAAAGATACTTATACTGAAGAAAAGGATGGAAAATTTATAAAAATATCATCAAAGTAGGAAGTGGGTTTAACCTGTACCTTAGGATTAGGGAATAACAACATTCCAATCAGTGAAAATATAAAAAGATGTAATCCAAGCAACAGCAAGACACTGAAAGTAAACATTATGAAGTAAATTATCTCCCTTTGACCTGTACATTATGTTGTGCATTGATCAATGAAGAGACAAAAGAATTACAAAATAAACATCAGTCTTACTTGACATTTATTATAAGCCTTAATATATGTTAACAAGTTACCTAATAACCTCAGGTAAAGTCCTCTGCAGACATTTAACAGTCTTCTTCATGATGCTCGAGTAGTTTATAACAAAAAATGGACGGATTATTCTTCGAAATCGAGTTGCCTACAATAGATAACAAGGAATAAAGTAGCCTTCTTCAATAAATTATAAAATTGCTAAATGAAAATTAATTATAATTTCTTGGTTTTTAATAGTTTACTTCATATCCATGTAATGTTAGATAATTTATTCTTTAATTTTCATAAATCAGACAGAATAAATCAGTATATATCAATCAGAATCAATGAAATTTATAAGGATCGTTATTACAGACCTCATGACATTATTATAAACTTTATTACATTATTACAAACTTCATCATATTACTAGACTTAATATGGTATCTCAACCCTTATTATTTTATTACAAGCCTATTAATTACATTAATACAGAGTTCAATACATTATTACAAGGCTTATTACATTATTAGAGACTTCATTACATTACTACAGACCCTATCATATTTTTTCCAGACCTCATTACATTTTTACAAACCTAATCAAATAATTATTACATACTTCTTATTACATTATTACAAACCTTATTACACTTTTACAGACCTCATTACATTTGAAGCTGATGCTGACACACCAGTCTACGAGGGAAATCCCCAGAACAAACACAGTAGCTACCATCCACTTCTTCTTACGGAACTGAGTGAAGCCAATCAACCAGTACTGGAAAATGTCATCATCAAATTACACAAACTGTGGTTAACATATACAATTCAAAAATGCTAAAGCAGCTCTTAAAACAAACAAAAAAATCCCTTGATCATGTTTTGAAAGTATAAATAAATATAATCTTTCTTCATAAATATCTTTTGAATTTTTTCATGTTAGGATTTCAATACCATAATGAAAGTGAAATCAAGTTTCCCCAGTAATTATATACACTTGTTCGCTGATTTGAAATTTTTTAATAAAAAATGAACCTCTTGATTTTTGGTTGATATTTTGTACATTTTTTGTACAGTTTTTGGATGAACAATGTACAGTATTTTCATCCAAATTCCAGTATTTTGAAGACCCCTGTACAGTATTTGGGTCTAAAAATTATCACATGTATGTTATAAGCTCAAAATAAACATGACTAGGATAATTACTTCTTGTGTAAAAAAAAAAGTAGATTACTTTTTAAAGAATTAAGAATTTACTTTTATTATGACATCTGTCACAAAGAAGAGTAAACAGATGAGTTCTATCCCCTCTGTGACTCCGCAGGGAACATCCACTCTGTCTCCCCTGTTACGAATGTCTGACGTCCAGGTCAGAGAGGACGGGAATTCAAAGAATGCCAGGAAAAGGAGCACAAAAATAAAGGCATAGCGGCTCCTGAAATATTGACATATATTAAAGCTTATGTTTTGGATCTATAATGGAGAAGAAAACTTGACTTTAACTTTTTAATTTGAAATCTCATTAACAACTTTTTTTTTATTGTTTATGTACCTTTGGGAAAAAAATAATTCTATTGTTGATTTGACAAAGTTATTTAATGCGAGTGTGTTTGAGAGTGACATGAAAGAAAAATTCTCTAAGGAATGACCTTTGTAAAAGGTTGGAATGGTAGAGTCTGTAGATCTGTAGAGCTCTCTTGTCCACACGATGGCAAATCTCCCGATACTGAAATATCAACACAGCAAAATAAGTGTATGTAGTTGAATTAATGTTTGTAAACAATAAACTTAATTACTTAATCTCTTTAGTTTGAAGATCCTCTTTACTCACCCTAGCAGCATCTTCTATGAACACTGTGGCTTGTAAGAGATGAGTCCGTTCTGCAATAAAATATTTTTGAGATAAATTCTACAAATGCCACCCTATATTAAATTACTAATCAAAATAAAACAAATCTTTGCACAAATGAAATTTGTCTTCAATTTACTTTTTCTTTTGTCCATGTTCTTTAAATTCATTTGAGATTAATACATTATTTTATACTTTCATATGCATCTGCACTCAGAACTTGGTATGCAATTCATTGTATCTTTACAAACAAGAACTGAACAAGACACATGTAATAATAGTATTTTGCCAATGTGTATAAGATTTTAAGGATGTGTGCAATGGGAAAACAACTGTGATACATAGAAATCATGCTATTTGAGGACAGATTCTGTGTGACAGGAAATCACAGTGTATTTGAGAAGTACATTGCCTCATATCATAATGAAACAGTAACCTTATTTGGTTCAGGAAAAGTTAGTGGGGGTAACACTGAAATACTTCTGCTCAGGTAAAATATTTGTATTGACGATTTCAGTGAAGAAGTCAATCAAAATAGCATAGCTGAGCATAGTATCCCACTGAAGCCTGAGTGTGAGGGGTAAACTTCTAAACCTAGGCTTAGTTATCATATAAATATTTTTACCAGCTATTTCTTTACAGAAAGACAGTTTTCTATCGTTGATCACGCGTTGATTATTTTGTGAAGAATTAATTGAGTGAGCAATGTTCTTGCATTTTTCAGATGCATCCCGCACCAGAGAAGTCGAGAATGAGAAATCAAACTGCCCATCATCACCTTCTGTTTGAGCGTCACCTTGTGCTACTGGGGGGATATTCCTGTAAACGCCTGGATCCCCATCCGTGTCTTCCGGTGGACTGATGCTATCTTTGTAACTCATGATCTGCTAAACTGAACTGTGCATCGGAGACATGCGGATCCTGATTTAACTAGCATTGTTTTCATTAATCAGCTGTTCATCATCTTTCTTTCATTTCATTCATTCATGTGATCTACCGGAAGTGCAGGAAAAAAAAGAGTTATCTTTCTTTACTTATTAGATGCGTTCGATTTCTTAGCCTCCTGTGCGTTTGTTTTCGTTTGGTAACCTGAGTCAAACGCACACCTAGTGTATTTCGAGTGGTTAGCATCGTTGTATTTTATTCTGTGATATTATACTTCTGTGTAAATTATATAATTACATGAATCTGAACCGTTGAAAAACATTTGTTAAATAACAATACTATACTTTCATGTAAATTAGTTGAATCTGATTCGTCATGTTCGTCGAGAAACATTTGTTAAAATACACTATTATTTTTTGGAATATCACCCGTCGCCAAGCAATGTTAACTGTTGCTACGCTGGAGGGCGTGGCTTCATCATTCAGCGGGTAATAGTACTGCGCAGAATTTATGCGCGCACAGTTCACTGTTATATGTATTTGTATAAAACATTCAGTATAACAGTGGCGGATTCAGGGGGGTTTGGGGGGGGGGGGGTCGGCAAACCCCCTCCCCCCCCCCCGCCCAATCCAAAAAAAATTTTTAGAAGTGTCATTTTAACAATATCTTTCATAACTGAGACTCTATCCAAGCCCATTGTTTTACACAAAGAGGTGAAATATACAGCCACCACAAGAAATCCCTTTCCGCTTGAGCGCACACAATACACAAGTAATCAACAGTACAGAGATCATGCTAGTCCGTGCAGCTAGTGATGACACAAGGTCATACACTAACAACCGAAACTACACTAACAACCGAAACTGTACATAGTTATTACGGTATCGTATTCTTTCATGAATTTTCTTTCTTCGATAATTGAATGTTACTTTATTGAACTACTTGAATAAACTGTGATTATTATTATTTAGAAAAAAAATAATTAATACAATCAGGGACGTATATTTTATAGTATAAACGTCCCTGATACAATATTTTCATGACATAACTATACTGGGAAAGTAGACCATTCGAGACTTTCAAGACTTTTTTTCAAACATTCGGCTAGTAAGTGGGTAAAAAAAAATAGAATTAAAGGGTGCATTTATGTTAAAAATTATAATTACCCCCCCTCCATAAATAAGCAATAATTTCAGAATTTTCCCAAAATAATTTATATTTATTCTTCAATATGAAATATCATTATTTATTTATATTGCAAATTATATAAATAGTATAGTCAAGTGGTTGAAAAGAATAATAAGAGTTTCTACACAAAATCCAAATTTTCTTAGTGTTGGGAAATTGCACATCAGTTGCATTTTTTATACTCAGAGCTTCACATGTGACACATTGGTCGTGCATTTTAAAATAAAGAATTGGATATTATATATATATATATCAAATGTCGATATTTCTAATTTTATCAGATTTTACAGTTATTTATTTATTTTTTAGAAGAGTATCATTTTTCATGTTTACATGGAAGTTAAGTTTTAATTTTTGTTCAAATTCTTGAAAATTTGGGTAGGTCGGTCTTGAAAAAAGAAGTGGCAAAAAACTAATTCATTCAATCTAAAATGCTGGAAAATGCACCATTTGGAGCCATTTTTAAGAAAAATTTCTCTGGGGAGGCCCCCCAAGCCCCAACCAATAGGAGGGGGACACCCCCTCCCATGCCCTTCCCCTTCGGCCGTACGGGCCTCAAACCCCCCCCCCCCCCCAACAAGAACTTCTGGATCCGCCACTGGTATAATATAATAAATATTGCATGTAGTTGAGTGTAACATTGAAAAAAATCACCCCAAGAAAACCATTCTCAACCTCGGTTCTTGGGGTAAAAATTTTCAATGTTTCACTCAACTACATGCAATATTTATATACTATTACCCTCTGAATGAAAAAAAAGCTACGCCCTCCAGCGTGATGGAACTTAGCAACAGTCAATATTACTTGACGACGGGATATACAAAAATGTTGACTGCACGGAATATATGCACATACGTTTAACGCTAAATTTATTTGTTTAAACCATTCAGTATAAAACAAATATTGCATGTAGTTCAGGAATCAACATTGAAAATTTCATCTATCGAAAACCAAGACAATGCTGATTGTCAACCTCGGCTGCACCTCCATTGACAGTGGTTTTTTGGGGGTTATTTTGTCAAACTGTAATTGATGAAAGTAAATTTGGGTGGGGTTTTTAGAATCAACTTAGGTGCGAAATTCATTTCTACCCATTTTCAGCCTAAATTTAGTCCAGTTCTGACGACCCCTTGTAGTGTCCATGTCTACTCACATTTAAAATTTACACGCTGTCGGCTTCTGTTTTAATTCCTTCTTGGATGAAAACATGTCTAATTTCTGAATCTGTAGTGTGAGTATTGTACCGAGCACATTACCATAATAATAAATCTTATTAGAGGATCTTAGAAAAAATGAAACTGATGATACATGTATACATATTAAATCAACCACCCAAAGACTTGTGATGATACTCTGGGTGATATGGATTCAGAATTTTTTTCTGAACATACAGTGAATAATGGATATTCTTTAAAAATATATAGAATACATGCATTTAAAAGTTCCTCAGATCAAACTAAATAACAACTTAAAGATGAAGATTTAAAGCTATGATTTTTTTTATTTTCTTTTTACAAACACCCAGTTTTCACTACAAATCGTTCACCGCGGTCGATCTCCAATAGGATGTTCAACGTTCAATGTATGAGGGATAGTACAATGAATACACATAAATTCGGTGTCGTATGCGGACATTGAATGTTCCGTACATTATAACACTGATACGTCAACCTGGTCAGGTCCTGAACAATGACGGATGTCCGACATGTTTGTATAGGAGAGAGGAGGATTCCAAAGTCATTGTCTACACAGCATCCTCAGGTGCCACATTGGTTTCTCAGCCCAAACTTCTCTGAATTTCGTCGCTGCTTTGTAGGAAATTCAAGTAAGTCTGGATGTTTGGGATATTATTCAAATCAGCTCACAATTTGGTGCCAAGGAATATTAATCTTTCTTATATCGGTATTTTATGTTTCAGGAAATTTAACTTCAAAATGGGTTGCAACAAATCTAAGAACCAGGAACCAACTACTGGGGAACTCTCCCAGACAAATGTACCAAACGAGGAAGTCAAAGCTCTGGCTGAAAAGGTATTTCATTATGTGTTAAAGAAGTGCTATCTGTAGAAACAAATATCTGCAATACCAATTATACTTAAAATAATTTTTTTTATCATTTGATACATGTATATTCACGTCAGCGTTATCCTGTTTGCTACACAAATTTAAACTATACATTTATCTAAAAGTTCGTCTATGTGCATGTGCGTACTTTATTATGATTTGAGCATAGACTTTATTCTTTTATTGTAGTTTAAAGCTGACGTGGAAAAAGAATTTGGAACAGAACTGGATACCTTTGAAGCCGTCTCTTTCAGGAAACAAGTCGTTGCAGCAAATTTATATTTCATTAAGGTATGTTTTACGGCCTACAACGATTCATTTCAGGGGGAAAATTAAGAAAAGATAAATCCAGTTTATATAGAGAGAGTATTTTTTTTTAACACATACATGTACTAGTATTGATAATTTTCTTTGGGAGTCATCGTCTCAAGCCATGGTCCGGAGTCCGCATATAGCTCTCTCCTAGCATGGGAGAGGATCGTACATTTTGGCCGTGGTTTGCTACGATGTTTGGGAGTATGCATTATGAATTGAAAGCCTCTTGTACTTTATCACTAAAATTAAATATTGTCTTTCCTATATGGAATTTGAGGGATCTTATTTTCTTCAATGGGTGAACTGCCATGAAAGTGCTTTCTTTGTATCCTCGAAATGACGGTGTTTGGGTCATTATCGAAAGAACGTTTTATACGGATCTCTAGTCCGAAATAGCTTTTTTTTTTACGATTTAATATTTTACGTGAAAAAAGCCTGGAAAACGTCAGATATTTCGGACTAACGGATCTCTAGAATATATAATTTTTCGTGTTCATGAATTAACTTCACAATTCCTTCTTGCTTTACTTGGACAGAGGTTCCGCCTGACAATACACGCTTCCTAGTATGAACTGTAGCAAGAGGATGTCATCCTCCCCAAATCGTATTTGTATCCTAAATCATAGAGGATGCAAATACGAAATTACTGTACATCGATCATACATATTGAATTGGAAATTTTTCTTCTTTTTAACTTAACTGAGTTGTTGAGTTTTTCTTAATATAGTTCACTATTTCTTTTGATATAGTACTCGTATATTGATCGATGATTCTAATTCTTTGTTGATTTTGACCTTTCGTGCTCCTTAATTTAGTTCACCTCTAGAAGCAGTTCTATAAAAGTTTTAAATTAATCGTAGTTTCATTTGCTAGCATCGGAAGCAAAGTATCAACAAGTACTATAAACTTTATTGATCAAATTATAATTTGAAACATACTTAATAACAAATCATTTTACATTTATAAGGTTAAAGTCGGGGATGAGTACGCACATATACGAATTTACGATCCTATTCCCAAGCCATCTGACAAAGCAGTTGTGACGTCATCGGAAGAGAAAACAGAACCAACAGACGAAAAGTCAGCGGAAGAGAAAGGAGAATCATCCGATGAGAAAGGGGAAGGTTCCGAAGAGAAAGGAGAAGGTTCCGAAGAGACAAAAGACGAGGGCTCAGAGGAAAAGAAAGAGGATTCTACAAAGGAAGACGCAGGATCGTCGGAGGAAACAGTTGCAGAGGAGCAGAAACCAACAGCCAAGTTTGAGGGTATTCAGAAAGGCAAAACACTTGAGGACGACATTGTTGAATTTGAAGAGCCCTCTCCTTGTGAAGAGGTCCAAGAAGCTGTAGAAGAAGCACCGGAACCACCCAAAGAAGAACCAAAAGAGGAAGAACCCAAAGAGGAACCGAAGGAAGAGGAACCAAAGGAAGAAGGTGGCGGTATCCTGGATACGATAAAGGCGGGAGCTTCCAGCGCGGAAGTAAGTTTTTGATGTTCAGTCTATTCAAAGTTACTTTGTCGTCTAGTTCACAGTTTGATAATAACGGTATTTGTAAAGGAGATGGGTGAACATGACGAGCGATAAGCCCACAGTGTGACAAACATGAAGATGAAAAATTAAATTTCTATTATATCAAAATTTTCCTTGATATTTCGTCTAACATTAAAATATACTTTATGTAAAATCTCTACAATTTGCAAAAATCCCTCAAAGTTTGAAATTATTTGCTTGTGAAATATTAGACACACACTAAAGAGGGCAAAAAGAGTCATTTTCGCATACTATAACACTGTTTTTCGATATGAGTGGGTCTTCGCTCCACCTTTTTGAAAGTTAATCCTCAAAGTTTGCATAAAAATATACATTTTTTGCTTACCAAAAATATGGAGCAAAGACCCACTATACCTTAAAAATATAATTTTATGACATAACATTCGCATCTTTTCGAGAAATACTTGAAGTCCATTAAGTCAAGGGTCATATCACAAACATGATTTAAATGCCACTGTTCGTCAGGACTTGTGTAGTCTAGTGGTTAGCGTGCTAGTCTCGAAAGAAAATGATTCTCAGGATTTTTATTGCTTAGGGTTCGAACCCCACGAATACCACATTAATTTTTTTAATAAAATAAATTTTGCCGAGAAATTTTTCCTCAGAAAAGTTTTGTTTATCACAGTTACATAAATTTCAATAATGAGAACTTTACTCTAAATATTAAATTCACAAACTGAACATGATTTTTATATTTCTGAAGCTATAGGCTTTCTGCACGCTATGTTCGCCCATCTCCTTGGCGTTCAATGTTTTCATTCATCGTCACAAACGATCTTGAAAAGAAAACTTACAGAATAACCTAGCTTGTAGGTGATACTGATACAGAACAAATTACTGTATTAAAGCTAAAACAATTTATGTCATCATTATACAGAATAAGTTAGAGAACCTACAGTTTTACTTTTCTTTTCTTTTAGGAGGAAGGTAGCGGTATCCTAGATACGGTAAAGGCGGGAGCTTCCAGCGTGGGAGTGAGTTTTTGATGTGCAGCCTATTAAGTTACTTTGCCACCTAGTTCCAAGTGTGAACATATTTGTAAATTGACGTTTAATATTTTCAATCATGCCACAAACCATCTTGAACAAAAAAATTACAGAAAAACGTTTTATGAGATACAGAACAAATTACCACATTAAAGTTAAAACAATATATTGTCGTCATTATACAAAAAAAAAAAGGTTTGAGAATTTAACCTGCAGTTTACTTTACTTAGAAAAGAAACGTCGTACATAGTTGGTAAATTTGACATGATTAGTTCTTTTTAAATGTACATGTATATCACACCCAGTTCCTATTCTGTGGTTGTTAATCTAAAGACACATCGTATTCTAGCTGATTAACTTAAACATGTATAATTATGTAAATTTTAAACATAGGTAATAAAATGAACGCATCATTGTATCATGATTTTAAAAAGTTCATCTAAAGAAATTTCTGTCAAATTAATAAACGAATCAAAGCAATAAACATAATTTGGAAATAATATTGGAAATTTTATCTGTCTCTTGGAAAAGTGTATATCTAGCACTAAAATACGTCGGGTTCTAACTACTTCCTCTCAACGTCAGGAGTCGCGAGTCCACTTACGGACATGGGACCCCGGGCCCCGCGTCAACAGTGGACCCAGGGCCCCTTGCGTTGAGGACATGTACCTGATGTAGATGCATTTCAAAAGAGTTTATTTTTAATTAACAGTGCAAACCCTGTTCAATCATAATGTGAGGAATTGGGTATGTTGATGTAATCTTCTTGTTCTTTATGCAAAGTTCCATCAAAATTGGAGCAAACTTGTAGGTAAAGTCAAATGAGTGATTTGACGGATGGACAGCTACTTGTAGGTACACAACAGGACCACCCTCAGGTATTTCTCAAGAGCAAAACTCTTGTTAAATTTGATCAGTATAAAGAAAAAAATGCACGTCAAGTTTTCTTGCATTTTATGCACATTTTTTATTGCATCACTAGTACTTCTATTATAAAAATAACTCAACTAATTTATAAAATTTATATACAATTCATATTTTAGCTAAAATTTACAGGACAAGATTTGAGAGAGAGAGAGAGAGAGAAGATAGTAAATTTCAAACCTAAATTTGATGTCATTTTTATTCTTCTAAAAACAAGCTTTAAAAATTTATGAATACAGAACAAAATAGAACAGGGAGAGTATACATAGAAGAATTTGAAAATTAATTTCATCTCAAATGAAATAAGACAGATAAAATAGTAAAACAATAGCACTTTTAAACTACTTCCAAGTGTAAAGTAAGGCTCATATAAACTGTTAAGAAATTTACTTTACATGTGTTAAAAGGATATATAAAATTATATATTTAAAATGAAACATAGTTAAAATAAAGATTTCAAATGTATGTATACACCAGTATATATTCTAATCCTTTCAACTTTTTTCTTATCACAAGAAGATTTATTATTATTTCAAATTGGAAATTTACAACAAAATATGTACTTAAATATCCAAACAAAATTAAACATGCAGTTAACAAATTTTTCAGTCTTTCAGGAAAACAAATGTTTTAAATTTTAATATTTTGTGTAACAGGGTGTGGTTAGATTAAAAAGTTGACTAAGATTAAATCTAGTATCTACAGTATTTACAATGAAACTTCATTAAAGAATTTTCCAGCATATAGCACTAATCAATTCTTAAATATGTACTAGCATCCACTATCTTTAAATAAGCTACAGTATACCTCAGCCTGACGGCATTTTGTATATAAACACATCAGTTCTGGGATCTGCAATAATATCCATTATAAAAATATTGCACCTATGCACATTTGAGGCACAGTCAGCATTGCTCTACCAACATATTCTACATTTAATTTTTATTCTATCAGTATCAACATTTTAAATTATTCCACTCTTCTAACAATAATATGTTCTTTTGCATTTTCTGTAAAAATATCTCAGATTTGTACCTTATACCATAAATAAAATCAACAATTCTTATGTCTTAATAACACTATCATTTTCTGTACCTTTATATTAGGAATATCATTGCATAATTGGAGACCTTGGGAATCAGGCTTTGCTAAAAATAACCTCAGCAGAATAGTTATAAACTAATATATCTAGACATGTTTGTTATTGTAAACATGAAGACTTTTTTTATATAAAAAGCTGCCAATTCAATGCATAATAACTTCTGAGTTGGGGTGATCAAACAAGATATAGGAGATATTTTACTTATATTTGTAACAAAGTAAAATGTAGTAAAGATGCAGAATATGATACCAATAAGTAATCTTTTATGCTCTTTAATTTTTTATACAATTGTTATCATCGCAGAATTTAAATCTATACCATCAAAAAATACTTAAACAATTTAAAAATCATTCTACATTAAGTATGTATGCTCTGTGTGTTATTTTGATTTTGATGTGTTAAAACACTTATTTACATGTGCTACATGAGTAGATTAAATTAAAACTTGTTGAACACCCTCTGTATTCTCAAACTGTAAGTGTACATATTTTAGCATACCCTGCATTAAAAAAAATAGCACAATGAAATGTAATGAAGAATTTGGGGCACTCATGAGTTAGTATTTGTAGTATATCAATGTTCTATGTTTTCATGAAAACACATTTCTGAATTGGAAAATAAAGATTACATCAATGATGCCAAAATTTAAATTCTGCAAAAATAAATACATAAACAGTATTCTGATTCAATAATCTTATACATAAAAAAAATCCATTCATATCTTACCAAATTACACAAATCCACATCTTGCAGACATTTCACTCATTTCTGAGTGACACAAATTTAAAATAAAATTATACTCACATCCATACTTTGTTCATAAGCTAATTAAAATTTGTTAGTATGAAATGAAATACATAAAATATCCTTATACTGATAAGAAAAAGATAGCACTTTGTCCAATGCACTCATATAAAACAGTCACTCTCCATTATATATTGCACATACTGTCTTCAGTAAATAATAATCAAAGCTAAAATTGCCATTCTTGTCACACATAATACTTGTATACATAATATTTACATCCATTGAAAATTTCTTGTGAAAACCACTTCTTTCATCAATCAATACATGTCAGTTAGGACTGGTTTTTCAAGCCACCTTTACAGATTTCTAATGTAGTGTGCTTTTCAATCAATGAAATATACAATGATGCACATATCAATAATACAATATTTAACAAACTCAAACCTACTTTATAGGATTATTCAACAGACATAAATGATAAATATCAACAATATAATGTCATTCTTTCTTTGTTAGTACGGGAAGGAACAGTTGCAGCTATTGCAGAAATTTTTTTTACATAACCCACTTATGAGGGTTATGTGTTTTTTCCCAGCAATAGCTGCAATGTTAATTTCTGTGCTAGTATACATTTACAATTCGATACTTACAGCACATATTTTCTGAGACATAACACACCTTGAAAAATTATAATTGGTAGATAATATTAGATAAACATAATGAATAGTTGGCATTAAACAATTTACATGATTTAGCAGAAAATAGCATTTTTGGTGTTAAAAAAACCGTTTCAAAAGTAAAAAAAAATCATTTAACTTTTGCAATAATGAAAATTCCTTACTTACATCTCTGCCTGTATATACTTAAAACCATCAAGCCATATCGCTAGAAGTAACACTCGGACAATTATGGTAATACAAAACCAAAGCATAACTTTTTACAGTTGTTTTATTTCTGTTCCCAAAAATTTGATTATTTGCTCCATCAGAAAAAATGTTTCATCATGATAAAAAAATTTGCTCCCACTAGATTGGACACATATTTATGACCCATTATAGGTAGTTATAGATATTAAGGCTGCCTGAAATGATTTTAACAAAAAATTTTTGTTCAAGCAAAAATGCTGACTGTCCAGGGAAAAAAACTTACTTTCATAGAAAAATAAAAATCTGAACTAGGAAAATATCCTAACTAAATCATAAAATATTGTATTGTTACAAAAACTTTAAGTCAAAAAGAATTATGTTAACATCTAACAATTGGACTAATATCATTTGATAAGATATGCATCAGTCTCCAAGTACTGTAAATTAAAATGTTAGTTGGGGAAAGGTTTGTCACAAGAATTCAACCCAATTCAATGAATATGATACACATAGTTATATGTACATATATACATGACTACCAGTACAGGTAACAGCTGCCAAAATCACAGATCTACATGTTGCATAGTTTCTATGCAAAGAACATTGTGACTGTTCCTTTAATGGGTGTCCTACACAAAGGACACACTTTCTCTGGCAGACTGTCCACACATCCCTGACAGGAGACCAGGTGATTACAGGAAGTAAAGAACACCTGGACTTCCTTCACATGACAGATCTTACACTTGGCGCGGTCAGACTGGGCGGACAGTCGACAGATTTCCTCCTCCAACTCACACACCCTCCTCTGCCACTTCCCCTCAGAGAGCTGATGACTTCTCTCCTCCAGGATTCTGTTCCTCTGTCTCTCCTGATCAAGGAGTCTGTCTTTCTGTTGTAAGACTTGATCCTTCTGTTGTAAGACTTGATCCTTCTGTAGGATGATCCTCTCCTTCTGCTGCAGCCTCTCTCTGAGTGACGAGACCTTCTGTTGGGATTCCATCACTTCCTGTGTGGTTTCCTCCACCACCCTCAGAGTCTCCTCCATCTCATGACGAGTCTCCTCCATCTCGTGACGAGTCTCCTCCACCTCCCTCTTTGTCTCTGCCACCTCTCTCTCCAGTTGCACTACAATTAAAATTTTTTACAACCATTCTTTTAAATGTTACCAATGGGTAAAAAATTCATCCTTGAACATTGATTTGAGAGTCCATTCCTTATTCTCTTTAAAAATATTCAAAATGTTAAATGTCCTACAGACCCGGTGAGGGCCTGTCCCGAGACAAAGTTAGATTATTCTAACTACTTATTCATATACTTTGCATTTGGTGTTTATTATAATGTAATCATTTAATGAAACAAAACATATTACATGTATCAAAGAAGAACCAAAGATCAAATGCTTTTTTAAGGACATCTTCAGTACACACACAGAACTATTACTTTGTCATTTTTATTTCATTTTCTTGTGTGCAAAAAAAAGAAAGAATGCACTGAATGATCAAACTGTTATTTACCTATACCTTTCATGTCATGGTGGATATCAACAAACTCCTCAGGAGAAGGGAGAAAACCTAGATAACAGAAAAATACTGTAAGTTAAATATTTCAATGATAGTTGGATGAACTGAGTAATTTATACAGAAATCCTACATTGAGACAACTTGTGATCAGATATAGTTTTTTTTATTTGCAATTAATTTTTCATCATATGATAAATAAAATTCCAATAATTGTATCATATTTCAAGGGAGACAATTCTTTATCTTTACTGTTACAGTAACAATAAATTCATCCTTGGGTGTTTTAAATTAATCCTTGGCTGTTTCACAGTGTCATGTTAGTAACAATCATACTTACGGTTGTTCTCTAACCACTTCTCCAACACTCTCTCAAAGTCTTCCAGGGAATATCCATTACCATCTACCACAATGTGTCGGAGTTCCTCGTATGTATAATCTTGTGGAAGCCCAGAGTCATCCAGCCGTGACCTCTGTCCTCCCATACTCTTGATATGGTCTACTGCATCTGTCAACTTTTCAGCACTTCTGTGGGCGGTTATCCCTAAAAATTCAAGACATATTTCTTGAGAAAATTCAATGTACTTTCACATCATTTTGGAAAACTTACAACACTTGGTACATGAATCCAAAAATATTAATTCATATCATCAAAATAAAATAGAATTTCTGCTCAAATAATTCTCACCATGATAACACAGAGAGATGCATACATGTACCATTATCAAATAATACATTAACATGAACATGTATATGCTATGTTTGTACATGTAACAGTTACATCTGTGAAAACACAATAAATCCTCAGCAAATAAAAGTTTATGTATATTTTTACATTCTAAAGTTGATGGAAAGCACAAGCACTTGTTTCCAAAATAAATTTTTAACCCAGTAGTATAATAATATCACAAGGTATCTCAATCCAATTAAATTACAAGGAGTACACTGTTCCATCCTCCCAAGTATTGCAGTCATTTACACTTACAGAGAAAACACAGCGGAAAACTGTTGACTAATAATCTCTTCTACTATCATTTAATTAAAAACCATATATAGCATGCTTGCCTTTATTTTGACTGGAAAATTTATTTCACGTACACCACAAAGTGCTGTGTACTGTATCTGGCTGAATATCTATACGTATTTTGACTGGCTATAAGGCAGTTTCTTTTATTTTAAATTTTGCTTTCTGTCTGAGTCTAGTACATACATGTAGCATTTTGTGTTATTATACTTTCATGTTAAATACTAAAATCTGATTGGTTTAGACGCATTTAACAATCCGTAATGTTACCCTCAGCGTTAGCAACACACTTGACAACGGGTAACATTACGAAAATATCACATGCGTTCAAATCATGCGCGTACGGTTCACCGTAGAATTCGCAAAACGTCGGTTGTGCGTTTGAAAGAAGCCGAATAAACGACGTCAATAAAAGCTTGCGTCCGATATAGCTTATTTGAAAACAACAAACGACAGACGAAACATCCTTGCGAGTGCAAACTTTAGATGATAAAGGACTTTTTGAGTAGCAAACAAACAATAAAGAGATTGGTAAATCTTTTCCGAAGCTTTAATTCTTATTGAGAAAAATAGAAGCGGGGAGTTTGAAAGCTTTCTAAGCGTGAACTTAACGACGATCTCCGAATTTTTTTTATGACACCCGAAATCAATAAGACATTCAGTATAATAAAATAAATAGTGCACGTTTTTGAGGGTAACAGTTGAAATTGACACCCCTTGGAAAACCATTGTCAACCTCCGCTCACGCGTCGGTTGACAATGGTTTTCCTTGGGGTGTCAATTTCAACTGTTACCCTCAAAAACGTGCACTATTTATATAATGTGAATACAGTTTTCCAGTCAGAGGTTGTTTACGCAGATAGAAAACAATTAAAGCAAGCATGCCATACATGATTTTGTAAATAAATTATAGAAGAAAAGAATGTTATTAAACAGTTTCCCACTGTGTTTTCTCTGAAAATGAAAATGAGTACAATTCTGGGAAGGGGTGCTCCATGTTATTTGGAGTTAAATAACTTTTGTTGTTATAATACAATGTACATGTACTACTGGGTAAAAAATTTATTACAGAAACAAGTGCCTGTGATAGAAAGCTATCAGTGATCCTCAAGAAAAATACAAATGTCTTTGTCATATCCAAGCATATACATGTTACAAACTTTCTTACAGAGACTTTTTGTGGTGAATGTCAGACTTACCTCCCTTGAGTGTGTTGAGATACTGTAAGGCAGTGACAAGCTCCTCTTGAGTTACCTCCCCCTCATCAAACAGTTCCCTAAAGGCCTCCACATAGGACCTCCTCAGCTCCTCCTCAATATTCACCTCAGATTGAGGCTCTGGTGAGGAGGAAGACAGGGGAAACAGGTACTTAGTTATCCCAGCCCTACAGCAGGTGGAGGCACTGGTTGTCTGATCCATGTGTGTTACTGGGGACCCACCCACTGACTTGTTAGAGACTGGTACTTTTGGGGTCCCAACACATTTGTCAGACACAATGTCAGTCTTTGACTTGCTTGGAAACCAGAATGACAGGGGTATTATCATTGTAATGAATGTCAATATACAAAGTTCCAAGTTTACAGAGAGGTGCTTCATGTACATTATACTCAATGCCATTACAAACAAACACACGTAGACATATTGCCTAATCTTCCTATTCCTCCATCGAGGGAGATAACTCCTGAGCAGAGAGTTCTCTATAAAGCTATGATTCTGGTCAATCACAACCACAACCAGGGAAAAAGGCACAAAAACTGATTCCAAAAGTAATGGAAGGACTGAGCTCAAGTGACTCAAGTCTGAGTTCATCTGAAAAAGACAGGCAGATAATTATTGATATTTACTGTTTTCTGAGATATTGGTGTAAATCCTTAAAACTAGTCGATAACTTTTAAGACAGCAAGAGCTATGTGAGCGACTATTCAAGGATTACAGTAACTTCAGTGATTGTAAGAATGATAGATCCATACGTCAAAGACTCTCGTGCAACAAAATGACATCGTTAAACTTATCTTCTCTAATATAAAAGGGATAAATCTTCATCTTAAAACTGTCATTTGCAGTTATTCAATTCAATTTATTGACATATCACCATGTTGGGATACAGTCAAGATAACAAATCAAAAGACAGACAAAAGAAAACTGAATTATAAAATAATGGTTAAGTATACAAGTATACTGATAATGTTTGTCATAATGCATTGCAATTTTATATGGCTGTGAATCATCCGAAATTCCTCGGGTACTGTTTCCGATACTCTACTGTTTCGTTCTTTAAAAAGGCTTTCATGCAAATTATTAAATGGTATTTGGAAAAACGCATTGTATTGACCACTTTGTTGCAATTATATCCACTGATATCCCTAAAACACACATGAATTTTCGTGTGACACATATATATACTTAACCAGGGTATACATCCGACTTACTGATTTACTAAATGGAAACTTTAGGTTTGGCAAATGCAAAGAATAATAATATAAATGTAGAGTTATAATAGTTGTCTATCATGCCTTACCTTGGTTGGTAAACACTTCTCCCAAGCACCAAAATGATACAAATTTTGGAAAAACTTTCCTTCCTTCGTGATAGAATGTAAACAAAGATGGCGAAGACTGTTCCTTCGGAACAAAATGCCGAGAAAAAATTCCGCGAAATACGAAAGCTGTCAAAATAGTATAGACACGTGTTTTTGATCTTAAATTTTTATTATATATGCATGAGGTATGAGTTGTATGACAAATCGTAAAAGACATTTGCACGAAGAAAAAAAAAATACAATCACAGGAGGGGAGGGGGGATTTTTCTGTGAATTAGGCCTAGTATTCTCTTCGATCACTCTGCATTTAAGTGTGTTTAAATAATCAGACAATCATGTGATAGTAAAGGAAACCATATCCAAGGGTTTGTGAAGAGGAAAGATATCACAAAACGTTGATATTCTGAAGGTGGGATAAATGTTGTATTTTTTTCTTTTAAAATAGATACACGACTTTTGTATAGATGCATGGCCGTATAGGAACCGGGGGGGGGGGCCTTGCCCCCCCCCCCCCCCCCCAATAATTTTGCCGATATAAAGAATACTATAGAAAACATAGCTACTATATGTTTGTGCCCCCCTCAATAATAACTTCTGATGACGTTTTTTTTTTTTGTATTTTTTTTTTTGGCTTGTCAAGGAATTTTGGTAGTTGATAGTGCCTCCCCAACTGGAAATGTATGGTTGTGCCCCTTCAAAGTGAAATTGCTTCCTACGGGCCTGAGATGTTCATGTACATATGTTCACAGAATCATTTTGATAGAGCACATGCAGTTTCTATTGGACAGGAACCCCCCCCCCCCCCAATTCAAGCCCGATGTCCGTTGGACATTTTTTTTTCACAAATTATATTTATTACACTTATTCACCATGTGTGCCATAGGAAAAAAATTATAATGTTTTCGTTGGGTATTTTTGTGTGGAACGACTATTTTGGGGTTTTCACGATTTTTTCCTACACACACATGATGAATAAGTGCAATAAATATAATTTGTGAAAAAATGTCCAACAAGCCCCGGATTGAATATTGGGGGTGGGGTGGGGGTCCTGTCCACAAGTACCTGTGTGTTAGAGGGGCTGGGAGGTTCACATAACTAGTTGTACATAATCATTGTAAGCTGTGAAGCCAAGAAAAAAAACTTATATATATATATATATATATATATATATATATATATATATATATATATATATATATATAGTGTGGTGATGATGAAAAACAACAAGACTGTTGGTTCGTGTTTAAACAAGACGGATCTCTTTATTATGATGAATCAGTAATAGTAGAGAAACCCTGTAATGAAATAACAAATTATAAATATTCAGCATAAAAACTATAGAATTATTGATTAATATACAATCAATATATAGTTGTGTCAGAATCAAAGGGAGATAATCCAATTATATGATATGTACACAATCAAATCTCCCACTTCTTTAATCAATACATATTTATCATAAAAACTTTACAATAATTATCCTGATAATGTATATGTACATAATTAATTATTGTTGCTCATAAAAACAATATTATTCATACCATTAAATGGGAATGGGTCATACTGCAGCACATATATAAGCTGCATACACTAGACAGACAGATCAATATCTACAAATTAACAATGAACAACTTTGTAGATATCTACACTAAGCATAAAATGAAGTTTACTTTAAAAATATGTAAAAGTGAGACATCCATGTATTATTTACACATAACTTTATATCTACAGTCTCACTTTCACTATTCATTTACTCCAGGAAAAGTGACTTTAGGAATTAAGTGCAAAATTACAGATTTCACATTTAATAAAATTAGAATAATCTATTAACATTAGTATGAAAGAATTACTTACCATGCAAGTGGAAATATAAGTCTCAATGTCAAAAGGTCGTTTATGACAACTTGAAAAACTCAATCACCAAGATATGACTATAGCTTTCCACTGCTAAATCAGAATTAACCAAAAAAAAAAAAAAAACAAAAAAAACAAAAAAACAAAAAAAAAAAAAAAAAAAAAACAAAACAAAACAAAACAAAACCAAAAAAAAAAAAACAAAACAAAACAAAACAAAGAAAACTTGGAGGGAAAAACAAAACCCAATCCAAAAGCATAAGACAAACTAAAAAAAAAAACAATGAAATTAAAAGATACAAAATGACCTTGGCCAGAATATAATTACAGCCCTGAGGCTAACTCTGGACTTCTCTGGAAAAGAACAATTTAAAAGTCAATACACTCTACTACAGATTAAATGAATAATTATATGATTCAGCTGTTAGTAATAGTGTGCTGTAAATAAAAATATATACATAATTAGATCAATTAATAAATGCACATGCAATATGCATTGCCATGCACATGTGTATAATATATAAAAACATGAGTCTGTCACATATTGCTCTGTAATAGTTTTTGATATAGTATTGCGTATTTTCCTTAATTTTAAATTAACGATCGAGGCCGAGTCTAATTATTTCTAGCCTAGAGATTTTGATAAATTTTTCTTGAATTAATTTTTACTATTATATTTTTTATCTCGTTAGTTGCAAAGTTTGCTCCAAACAGTATGTTGGTGAAACAGGAGATCTCCGCAGGAGAGTCAATAATCACCGTTCTACTATTAGGACCAAAAAACTCAATGAACTCGTTGGGGAACATTTCAACCTTGAAGGTCACACATGGGAGGACATGACAGTAGTAGTTATTGACCATAATCCAAGATGGACAGACGCTCTGAGAAAAGGCAAGGAAAAGTTCTGGATGCAAAGGCTGAAGTCATTCCGCCCTAATGGTATTAACAAACTAAATGACTTCACCAGGATGAACGTGAACTAGACCCAATCCCGGATTGTAACAAACAAGTTCATTCTCTCCATATAGTGTAAACTTTACCGTTAATTCGCATTAGCAATTCTGGAACAACCTACAGGCCCGTAGGAAGCAATTCCAGTTTGGGGGGGGGGGGCACAGCTATACATTTTCAGTTGAGGGGGCACTATATCGACTACAAAAAATTCCTTGACAAGCAAAAAAAAAAAATAAATAAATAAATAAAAAAAAAAAAAAAGGTCATCAGACGTTTTTATTGAGGGGGCACAAGCGTATAAAAGCTATGTTTTCTATTGTAATCTATATTTCGGCAAAATTATTGGGGGGGGGGCGGGCACGCCCCCCCCCCCCGTGCCCCCCGGTTCCTACGGCCATGACCTACGCAAATATTTATTGCTTACATTTTTGTTTTTTCTTTTATCCAATTTCTAAATTTATAATATATCCAAATTAATGTTTTAAAATTGCCCTTCCATATTATCTTTCTTTAATTTCTTTTTATCATGTATAGTTACGCTATTTTCAGAGAATAAGAAAGTGTACGGTTTACTACATGGTCGTAATTAATTAGCGATAATTAATTCGTTCAATTATGTAAATCGCACTTCACCAGAGTACACCCGATAGACCGGACGCAATTCATAGCGCTCCGGATTTCTTTCTTCACAACTGTTTAAACTTCAAATTAAACATGTAACACTGTATATATTTAGTGTTTGGTATACGTAGTTTAGTAGTAGTGCTAGTTGTTTTTGTTTCTCTGTTTCCTTTGTTTTTATGACTTCTTAACTCTTTTCTTTGTCCTGAGGAAGGGAGAGGTCGCCCCGAAAATTTGACAATTTTTATTGTTCGTGTCGTTGGTCATTTTTAGTGCTATATATATATAGAGAGAGAGAGAGAGAGAGAGAGAGAGAGAGAGAGAGAGAGAGAGAGAAAGAGAGAGAGAGAGAGAGAGTAAATTATTTATTATAGTGACATGTGTATTATACAGTTATACAGTGTATTTTACAACAATATACTTAGTTTTTTACACCCGGCCCAAATGACCTATATGTCACTGTTTATATGTTAACAATATACATATATACAGGCACATAAATGAAGATAAATTATATTAGAATGTTCTTTTTGTGAAATTCTGACGAGTTTTAAAAGAGAGAGAGAGAAGTCTGGGATAGTAGATCCATACAAATTCCTTCTACCGAGTCCCTTGCCAAGCTCCTTGAACATGTTCTCAAGAGCTAGGACTTTCATATTTCACGTGTGTGTTTCTTGTGATAAGACCTTCCCTTGGGTACCAACAGATTTGGCCTTTTACCCTTCACCTTTAAGTATGACTTACTTCTAAAAAAAATTTAACCTTGGCTATAATTTTTAAATGGTTGGTGCTAGGGCTTTCATATTTCACAGGTGTATTCATTGTGACAAGACCTTTCTTTAGGTACCAACATTTTTTATCTCTTGATCTTGGAGTTTGACTTGCATTTTAGAAAGTTTAACCTTTGCCATGTGTTGCCCTACGGGGGCATTGTTACAACGCACTTTGAAAAATTACGCATTTTGAAAATTTTTTACAAAGTGCGTTAATTTTGGGACCACGTTAACGCACTTTGAAAAAAAAAAATCTTTTCAAAGTGCGTTAATGTCGACCATATTAACGCACTTTGAAAAAAAAATGCGCACGGCTTGGTCAATATTCTTGCAAATTTTACATATTTTAGATATGATAAATAATTATTTGAACCTGGTCGGATAACTTTTCTGTGATGACGTCAGGATCGGAGATACAGACGTTTTAAGATTTTTAGGAGTTGTCTTGTTTCCAAAGGTTCTCGTAACTTTTATAAAAGGGAAATGGGTCCTAGAAATAATGGAGGAATTATTGTTTAACAGCACAGTTTCGTTTCTTTTTTCCTTTCCTTTTTTAAATTTTATCCAGTCTCTAATAAGTTCGGTAGATGTAGGTGTCGATAAGTGACTTAAAGCATCGCATTTTTCTTTCGGGAAAAGGGAGCAATTATGATTTTTCCATATGATACCATGAAAATTCTCTCTCTCTCATCTATTTTTCTATCATATTCATCTATCGATCTATCGTGAACATATATGAAACAATGGTTGACTAATTTATTTGATAGTAAGAAAATAAACCTTAGCCACATTACTCACTCGACTGAAATTTTTACCACGTTCACTAATAACTTTTTCTCAAAAAAGTTATGCAGTCAGATTACTTCTAAATCTGTAATTTGATATCATAAAAACGCTAGACATGTCAAATAGGATGTTTTAATTACCATGTAAATGCATTTTTTCTGAGGAATCATTGTGGATGCATTTTGAATAAAGGTTATGCGGCTCTCTTCTTTAATATAATAGGGTGCATAATTTTTTTTTCAAGAAAACTTATCTCAATTTTTTCATCTATTTTACGTTAACTCAAATTTATTGAGAGAAATAATATCAATGTCATACCAGTTATGTAAATACATATATTTGTGTAGGAAAGATAGAGAGCTGGGCTGAGGGATTTTCTACCTGTCTTCTCCTCGTTCTCGAAGAGGGTAGATCAATTCATCAGTTTTTAGGAAGAAATATAACAAATTAATGCTGTCTATTATTAAAATCCAAGTCCAGAATTTTTGTTTTAAACGTATATTTTAAAGTGCGTTAAGTGTCTTCATCGTAAAAAATGTTGATGTACACTCTTTACGCACTTTGAAAAAAAAATTTCAAAGTGCGTTGATTTTGTCCAAAATTTAACGCACTTTGAAAAACTTTTTCAAAATGCGTTGATTTTGTCCCAATTTTAACGCACTTTGAAAAATTTTTTCAGTAATTTTTTCAAAGTGCGTTGCCACAGGGCATCAATGTCTTGTATGAATGTGAAGTTCAGAGTCATCTGTTGTCCTTATCCTAAACATTGTCAAGATTTTTACATATGGTAGCAACTCAAAAGAGCGGCGGAGATTTTGAAATACTCTCCTTGCTACAATTTTTGAATTTTTTTAGAATGATTTCAAACTTGTCTGAGTTTATTGCTCCTAATAGTCATAACACAGTGGTACGAGGGCTGTTCAATAAATTATGTCCTCGGTGCTCGGAAAGAAACAAAAAAACGCTTTTCAATGATTTTGTCTCAATGATTTCCCTTAAATATGCTCCTTTAATTGAAACACATGTCTGTAATATATTTATCCAATTCCTAATTGTTTTTAGAACACATTTTTGAGTATGGCCCTTCGTATACTGAAATATGGCAGATCCTATGATTTCCTGGACTTGTTTTTTTCTTTCTGAAAGGTGTTTTTTCGAGTTTGGAAAATGAAACAAGTCGTTGGGTAAAAGATCTGGCGAATATTGTTGGTGTGACAAAACATTAACTTTCTATTTATCCCCAAAACTCCTTTACTGTTCAGGACGTGTGGGTTTAGACGCTGTCATGAAGAAGATTAATGTAGTAGATTCCTGATTCTGGTTCCTTCTTCTCATAAAACTTTCGATTATTTTGCAAAAATTTTGCTTTCTAGACTCATCCAGAAATAAAACGGCCTCCCCAAATAAGAATCTGAACACCAAGACCACTACTATTGAAGAAAATGGCATATAAAACTTTCTTTGTGCTCTTGCAATTCTTTGCTATTCTCAGACCCTTGCTAATTTGGGCATGTGCATCTTGTTGTAAATTTTCCTTTGGGGTTCAAAGCAATGGATTCAGGTTTCATTATCAGAATTTCAGACAAACGTGGATAACTACAATTTCTGATTAAAAAAAAAAATTATTTCGATATTGTTACACGCTGTCGTTTTCACTCATTTGTCAAAACATAGGGTGACCATTGAGTACAAAGCTTTTTCATTGTTAAATGTTTCTTTAAAACAGTGTGAACTACCCCCAAAATTATGCCTACCAAATTTGCTATGCGTCTTAAAGTCAATTTAAACATCATCAATGATAATTTGTTGAATTTTGGCAAATATTACATTGGTTTTGTAAGTCCTTGTCGCCAAGGACGGTACCCATTTTGTATGCCCATTTTATCATTTTTGATCATTGAAATCCATCTGCTCAAGTGCCTATAAAACAAACAATGGTTGCTGTAAACATTACATATTTCAGTTAATATTACTTTTGCATTCTGAACAAATTTTACAGAAGTTTTACATGAAGCGTATAACTTCACTCTTGTTAACTTATTCTTTACCAAATGAATGCAGTGTCTCGAATAGCCCTTGTTTTCCAGCTTCTCACAATGAAACTATATGATGAAGCATGGTCACATAAATGGTTATCAATTTATTAAAGATTCAATCATGAGAGAAAGCCAAGGTTAATGTAAAATATTTTCTGTTGTACGTTATAGAATTCAAGACATAATTTATTGAACAGCCCTTGTACATGTATGTACTTTTGATTGGAATGACTTAAAACTTCTACATTTTCATTTTCTAAGCATTACTTTATGATTTGACATCATTTATCCTAAAAATCAAGATCATCAGGCAATAAACTCTTTACAGAATACAAATCTTTTTAAGGGCATAACCTTTAGTTGTGATTTAACAAATCCCCTGTAAGCTGCTAACCATTACAATAGAGATGTCATAGTTTTCATTTAATGTCATGTCATCGAGATCATAGAGTGATGCAATAAGGTTGTTAGTGCCACCCCCCCCCACCCCCCTCCAAAAAAAAAAAATGGTATTACACCTTTTTAACACAAAGTCTGTATTACAAAAAAGTAGGTTTAATAACAATCAATCTGAGTGTAAAAATTTTAAATTTATTGCACAATAATTACATCCAGTATCTGTATAAACATTTAACAAAAAAATTAATACATCTAAAAATGACATAAATTAAAGAAAATCCATGATCTTTATCCATATTTTATTTCACTGAGACATAAATATTTTCCTCAGTTTTTCTAATTTGGGAGTACAATTGTGTACGTAATGTTTTTGAGATTAAGGTACTCCAGAATCCACTAGTTTTTGATCATGGACTGCCTACCAAGGAATATTCTGTAGTAATCACCATGTGCAATCAGAAGTAAACCAGCTCATCCTCGGCAGTCTTCCCTCTCTGTAAGTCAGACAGCTCCTTAGGTTTGTTAGTGTGAGGAAGAGGGGCAAAGATCCTCAGGTGTATGTGTTCATCACCAATGTTCACCTGCAGGAACGAAGGCTCATTATAGCAAACATAGTTTCTCTCTCCCTCCTCACAATTTAGGCATATCTTTATCATGATTCTGATTTACATTTAAATTTATACTACAATTATTGAAAGACTGCAATTGTTACCTTTACAAAGTAGTTGGTACCGGCCACAACTTGGGTTTTGTACGACACTGGTGTGTAGGTATCCAACTTCTTTCCGACCTTGTCCTCCACTGCACCCTTAACCTACAATAAATCAAGTCTTTGTTGGTCAGTGCAATCAAATCATATGTAAAGATAAAGATTCAAAGTATAAGTTCAATCTCCTGTATTTGTCCCTGTAATACATCATACATGTAACCTTTGATTGTATATCATACTGGATAATCAGTAACAAATGTTATGGCTTATCTAACCCTTAATTTTCTTTATCATGTAAATTATTATAGATTATTTATTCTGAACATTGTCCAGATAAAAGCTAGCAGCTTTTCATATACATTTAAATGATTTTATACAATGCATGTCAAAATATTTTTTTTTAAAACCTATTTTTGGTTGAGTGGAAATTAATGAGTGGGACAGGTAAAACTAACAATATAAGATCAATGCACACTGATCAAAGGTCAGAATAAGGAAACATTCTTCTTAATGTGAGTCAGAGTCTCATGATGATGACGGAGCACCTGCTGGAACACTATTTAAAAATTTCTCAGACTCAGCTTACACCTTTAGCACTGTAAATCGAACAGTAATTACCAACAGGATTTGCGAATCAAAAAGTAACCCTCTAGTCTTACTTATCAACATACTATCTACATACAAGTAAAAAGCTGCTAAACGCCTAAGGCCAATGACCTATCAGCCTGTTACAAGGAAAACCAATCTGAGACTCTGGGAAATACATTTTTTGAACTGTGGATGGTATAAGAAATTGTATATTATATGACAGTTTGTTACCTCATTGATGATCGACTGGATTTCGGCATCTGCTGCCTTAGACTCTGAAGTTCCTCCACACATCATCTTCGCAGTTGTTTACGTTTGAAGATTTCCCTCGAAATGAAATATCTCGTGACGCTTCGCGTCACTAATGCAAGAAAGATAACTCCTGTGCGAAAATAGCATTTCCAATATTTCCGGTATAATATTTTACTGTATGATTATTATTTTTTTTTTTTTGCCTACCGGTGATAAACCATTTACATAAAAATACAGATAATGAGATATATAAGAGAACATATTCATGATCCAACGCTATCATTTTTTTAAGTATAATTTCCACCGGAGAAGTCATGTCTACTGGTTTATATTTTATATTTTACTTTCTTAATTGTTTTCGTATAATACATTTACAAGACCTTTACTTTATTATATTCTTCAACATTTAAAAATCAAGTTTCAATGAATACTTTCATTATTTTTATCGACAGTCATCTGCTATTTCATAAAAGATAATAAATATATTTAAATCATTCTGGACTAGCTCTACTTGTGACGTAAGGCGGGATATCCAATGAGCTCTTACCTTCCCTGGCAACGTTTGTCTATGGACACCTCTTGCAATGAAATGCATTAATGGCGAGTAAATAACATGCAGAATGTTGCACTTTGACATTTGTTTGTGATATACAGATACAAAGAATAATGTCGGATCCAATGCAAGGGATATTGGCCGAGGCCAAGTCGAACAAATATTCTTTAATAAAGGATAAACTTTCAGAAGACGGTAAGATAAAAAGTCTTTATAAACTTTCTGTAACAGTGTATAAGGCAAATATGATACAAGAAGATACCAGGGGTATATTCATCATGTAGGCCACAGAGATATTCTTCACAGTACTTAGATATAGGATTATCCGATGGCTCTTAATTTGCTAAATATATCATACATTGAAAAGAGAAATAAACTTATTTCTTGAACCCTTACTTATGATGATTGAACTCGGATATGATGTCGATGGACACCTCTATCATTGAATGTGCATTTGTAGATAAATCATTTCAAATTGCTAACAAGATACACCTAGTGGAAGGCCATAAACTGACAAAACTGTCACGCTTATTGAATGTGCATGTTGCACTTTGCATAATCATGTGAGATTTGTCTTGTACATTCTTGTTATTGGATGTAAGTTGAATCATATCATGGATTGTATCAATATTTTGTATACCTGTAGCATTAAACTGTTACCTTGATGTTATATACCTGATACCATATAAAGAGGGAAAGGTTAAAGTCTCTGAATACATCAAAATTGCTGTGTCCAATGATTGTTGAATAAGATGCCTATATTTCTTTCTTCATGTTTCTGATGATGTCATCAAATGTACACAGACAGTAATCAGAAACTTATCACTAATAGCTGTATGTAATGGCAACATGCATGCCTTTTAAAATATTTACACACAAAGCATGACCTAAAAATACATTAATAGATAATTTTCATTTTCTAAGCAAAACCATTCACTCCTAGTAAATTCCATGTTATTTTATAAAACAATTCATCTGATTATTTTATTTACAAATTAAGGGCCCTATATTGAATCAATAATTCAAATTTCATTTATTAGCCTTATTCTCAGTATTTTAATATTTATTGTTCTATTTTTTGTGAAAATTGAGTTGTGTGCAGTTGGGTTTGGAATTATCCTTTCCTTGACTCGATCTAAACAGCTTGAAATAAATGCACAGACTTCTCAAAGATTTTACATTTGAAATTGACATAATTTTAAAGAACTTAATAACATTTGTCTACTGCAGTATTTAATCAATTTTAAACCAAGACAGGCTAGTGACAAATAAGTTGATGTTATAGGGATTATATCTTTAGCTAATAGCCCATGAAATTCTGCTCTGTAAATTGATATTGGAAGTAACTTGAAATGCCTTTGCTGATTTCATCAGGTGTCAAAGGAATTAGTCCCTTGAGTGTGTATTTATGAAGACCAGTTTGTTTTTAGACAATTTGCTTTTAGTAATAATAAGCATAGCAAATATTTGCATATTTTATTTGAATATAATTTTGTTGATTTTAACAAGTTTTCTTTAATATCTGTCAGACTTTTTACTTTCTTTTAATAAATGTAACTTGAATTAACTTAATGTTTTTGCTTAATGTTTTCCTTGTTTTTAATCAAGGTTTTAAATATATTTTTGTAGATGTTGCCAGTGTTTGGGAGAATCTCTCCAATTTTATTGAAAAACACATGTCCCAGCAGAAGGTAATTATTTGTCCACAGTTATATGTTAATCTCAGAACCAAGTTCAATATAAAGTTTTATTAAATGCTAAATCACCGATTTATGATATATAATAAAATAAAGACTTATCCAGCAATGTATGCATCCTCCTTGCATTATGGATGACTAAATGAAAATGTCAGTTTTGTATACACAGTGCTTTCTATCTATGTAATGCCATATAAACCTAAATAAAAACATTTATTGTTTTATGATATGCTCATGTTATTCTTTGTATTACTTTTTTGTAGGGTGTCAGTATCCCTATGCTGGGAACATTTACCTTCACACAGAAAAAGCTGGACATAGGAAATAACAAATTTATTATGATGCAGAGACCTATCTTTATGTTGTCTGAGAAATTTGCCCAGACTCATGGTCTTCAGTCGGTGAAATATCATGTCCCAGGTACGATTTTATCAAGAATCATATATGTTTTGCTGTTCTGAAGATGAAGGGGATATTTTAATGGGTCATGTGAATGGATTTGCTCCTTTGACACCCTTGTACTGAAATCTTTGGGTTTTTTTTCCCTCCTAGAAAATGACTTTTGGGAATGATTAACACTAATTAAGTATACATGCAGTCTTTAAAATTTAAAAAAGAAGGAAGAACCCCCCCCCCCCCCCCCCAACAAAAAAATTGTATGCTCAGCATACACACTTTATAAAATTAACAGTTTTCACTTAACAGTGTTGAAATATTATATTTCTGTGAATGAAAAACAATTTCAAAAGACTTTTCAAGTTAATATAGTTATCAACTTTATACCTACTTTTGACACTCAATTTTAAAATCTCTCTGGCATAACCCATAAAGGTGTATTTATAACCTATCTTTGGAAATATTGACCCAAATGCTCAGTTTGACCAATACACAATGGACCTCTACTTATCTGGTACAAAGAGAGTGAATTCTCAAAGCGTCACTAGGATTTAAATGGCATTGACTCACCGTCTCTGACCAGTATCTACAAATGTAAACTGTCATTATAATAATTACTTTATAAACGTCATTTTCACAGTATTTGTGCTAATTGTGTTGCACTTGGACCAAAAAATAAAAAGTCAAACGGCATATTATTGACATGTTTTCTAGAAAGTACAATACCTATGCAAATGAGTCCCAAATTTTTTTTATATAAGCATTCTTACGAAAAAAGTTATGCGAAGTCAAATTTTGGGCGAGACCTTGAGTTGCGGACACTACATTACACCTGTTATGTCTAAAATAAAATACTAAAGATAGTTATTTATTCCAAACTTCTTGCGGGTTTGGATTATGTACCTAATTGCAGTGAAATAAAAGAAAAATCTTATGGTTCTCTTTGAAAACAAAAATTTTATTCACATTAATGACTTGCTAATTTTTTTGCCCAATTTATCTCCCTTCCTTAAGTTTATCTACCTTTACAATTGCGCATAAGACCTATATAATTATCATGTGAAAATTAAATTGAATACTTCTAGATTTCAAATACATTTGTCATAACACCCTGGATATCTTCGTTTGTATCTTGTCTAGCTTTGAAAATGCATCGCATTTTTGTTGCGGACACTACAAGTAACCATAAGAATAATCTTTTGTCATTTTCATAAAAATAATTGTTGATAAATGTTCATTTCTAGGCTGAATTATATACCACCGGATCAACTCTTGAAAATGTACCATATAAAAAGATGCAGAATGTGGTTTATTGAGATGAAAATAACCACATAACAAGGACCATTAATTATTTCTTGATGTATAATTGTTTTGCAGTTTTAAAAAATGTCTATGATTTTACTTATTTTAATACAATTAAAGAAGTTATAACAAATAGTTTTATAGATAAATTCAATGAATTAAAGAATTTACTGAGGCATCCATAATTTTTTTCAGTATTGAAATTGTTGCGGACACTACAATATATTGAAATATTGCTATATGACACCATATTTGGTTTTAATGGAGTAAACTAAAAATCTTAATCTCTAACTAGTTCTATATGTACAGTAAATGGTGTTATATTATAGGGAAATAAAAAAAGGCTAGTCAAAAATGGCTATCCGGCCTGGAAAATAAAACCCATATACATGTATATACCAGTAAGTTTGAAGTGTTATCTTGTACAAAAGTCACCATTTGTTATCTTAATCCAGTTAACTAATTGTATTATCAAAGGAGCGAAATATCAGAGAAGTGTTTTACATTTCAAAAATATTTAATGAAATAAAAAGTGAAAATAATAAATGAACTTGGTATATAGTTATTACTGTAGTGTCCACAACACAACTGTATTAATTAGAACTAGACTTATTAATTAACAATTAATATCTTGATATATTCTTTAGTTTCCACTTATTCAGTTTTAAATACCACATGAAAATTAACTTTCAATATATAACATAAGACTGACAATTGAAAGATTTTGAATATTATGTATAAACAAGTCGTTATGGGTGTTATTCAAAGTATGAAGTTATAGTTCCACTAAGTTTTGTAACCTTACATACTTGTATTGAATATTTGGATAATTATAGTGATGATCAATTGAAATCATGTTACATTTCTTTGAAGAAACTGTGAATTTAAAAAGCTGTTGCGGACTCTACAGCATTGCGGACTCTACAAAACACAATATATTTGCCAGAATTCCAAGCAACACTGAGCTAAAGTCTGATATTTTTTGGTAGATAGATTAGTAGCTGTACTGGCCTCTTACATGTAAAATAAGAGAAATATAATACATAATGCATTCCAGAATAAGCATGTGTTGCGGACACTACAGAATTTTGGGACATTTTTATGCCAGTAAGAAGAAAATGTGTCATTTTCTAAAGTTTCGAAGAATCCACTCAAACTTTTCTTTATTGTTTCATTTATCATTTAACTCTAATTTTAAAATGAACCTAAAGTAAGAGTATTGCATTAACATATATTTTTTTAAACTGCAAGTTCAAACAGTAGAATTTTATTAAATTTCATAACGTATCTGCATTTTCACATATTTAAACATTATTTCGCTAATATTTTGTTGATTTACATACAGTAAATTGCATATAAAAGAGGGATAATTTCACAATGATTTGACATCTATAACTAAGAGTTTCTATTGTAAATCTCTTGAAACAAAAACTGGAAAACAAAGCCATTTTTCAGCTGCAACAGCATAACGCAAAATATACCCCATATTTTAGGTAGTAAATCTTTAATATTTTTATTGTCTAGAACATGGGAGTGTTATATATCATTTAACTTGTTAGGGGACCATTTTGTCATAATTTGGTCATAATTGTTAAGGGTTTAATCATATATTTTGATGCAGAGTGCATTATAACATAAGTGAGTATGAAAAAACACAAATACTGTGAAAATGGCGAAAGTAAATTAGGTAAATAACGATTAAAGTTAAATCTCCACAATACACTACTAGGGAACATGTCATGAGGTCAATAAAACAGATGGTGTTTGTGTACGAGAGGTTGTTTTCTGATTTTTAAATGATAAAATATTCTTAAACTCATCAAAGCTATGGGTTATTAGTATTGCTTAGTATTAAACTTTCATTTATAGGCAATACATTTTTTCAAATTTCACACAAATTAAGTGTCAGGTAATTGAACTTATAAAAGTTCAGCACATTCTCATTGCAGGAGAATGTAAGGTAAACTATGCTAAATTATGACTGAAAATAAACAATAAAAATATGAAATTGGAACACAATAAAAACATGAATGAATAAAAATAAACAATAATTCAATTATATTAGCTTCTTATATACACACTTACCCATTTAGACAGTATCTACTACAGTGAAAACTGATAATTTCAAGCAAAACTAAGTTAGTTTTCGGGCACTACACCTGATTTCAGAATTTTCTGAAAATCCAGGATTTATAATTAGTCTAAGATTAAATAATTCCCTGTTGGTTATTTGTGTACAAGAGGTACAGACTGCAAACATGTACCTGGTATTAAAAATGCACAGAAGAAGATTAACTTCAATAACTTGCAGATTTATAATTGAATTTAGGTGCAGTACAATGGACTTAAGCTCTTTAGATTTCAGTAAAAATAATTGTTGATGCTCATTCAGATTGAATACTTGGTCTGCTTTCTTAAATTCTAAATCCTTTAAATGCTTTTTTACAGGGTTTAGACTGTGATGTTTATACTCTGTAGACTGAGTCAATAAAAAATTGAAGAGTAAAGAAAGATATTAAGAAAATATATTTCAAAAATATTATAGTCGTGAAGGTAAATTTAAAGTAATATCCCTGTGTCTATAAATGCTTCAAACCTTAGTTAGTCTAGCAGTTTAGTTGACATATTTACAATTACCAGTACTTCATTGTATAAACACCTAACATATTTTCAGTCAATTTGCACTGAAATTAGTTTTAATTATTCTATATAATATTTTTGTTTTTTGTCTTTGATCTGAAGCAAGTCATTTCCAAAATGTTTAGATTTTGCAAGACTGGCAGGCAGTTCCAGTCAGAGCAATGAATCTTGAAATCTATGTATAAATGGTTTATATGTTATGCATTAGCCAATCAGCATTTTCTATAGGATTGATGGAAACCCAACAATTGGAGAAGTCTTTATAATTTTGGAACTCCTTTTTTTTGCAGGAAATATTCCAGTAATTCAGCTGAACTTTGCAGCTTTATCATTTGAGAGTCCGTTTGATAGAGACACGGTAGAGACCTGTATAAGGGAAATCCTCAGCACCGTGTCTCGAGCGGTCAGTGCCAAAAAGAACGTTGAACTGACCTTTACAGGGATTGGTCGTCTGACCGTGAGAGATGCCCGGGTCAAAATGAGGTTCTACAAGGAGTTTATTAACCAGATGGATGGGACTGGAAAACTTCTGGACTCCATGCAAAATGTAAGTGTGCTTATGTCATAACAAAATGAACAACAAATACAAATTTTATAAGTTTCCATGTGAAGCAATTGATCATGACTTCCTTGATTGTACTTTACCATATACAGATATACAAGTAGATTTTCAGAGCTATATGATTTGTGCTGTTTTCCCATTAAGAGGGAACCAAGAAATTTAAACACTGTAGTGAAATCATTTATATATATTTATTATAATAAATGGAAGAGAAAATGAAGAGACAAATTGAATTCAAAATGTACAAAACAGATGTATTATAATATATATTAGAAATGAATCAATTGATATAAAAGCCTAAAAATTGCATAGTAGAGCAAAATACATGTAGTATTGTTATGATTCAATTGGCATGTACAGTTTTGATATTTATATTATTCTAGGTAAAATATTTTTAGTTTTGAGAGTTACACAAAAACATGAACCCCCCCCCCCCCCAAAAAAAAAAAACAAACAAACAAACAAACAAAAAACAAAAAAAAACATCTTTTAAATCTTTGTTTAATCACTATTTCATAAAGTGACTATTGTAATCATTAATCATACCAAACAATTCTGTAAAATTAATTTGACAGATATCTATTTGAGAGATACCAAAAAGTGTTCCATTATTTCTTGTGCAAATATTAGTTGCTTATATATTTGAAAATCAAACATCAAATAATTCTAGAGGTAAACACTGAACATAATAATGTTCCATTGATGTATAAACCTGTATATTTTCACTGTGTGTTGTATGGCAACAGAGTAAAATGCTCCCTCACTTTGTTTGTCAGATGGTGAATGGTACAGAACTGTACTGATCAGATTTTAAAGCTTTTGTATGAACATAAAATGTCAACTTCAAGCATTACACACAATGTTTAATAAAGTCTCAGATTGTCTGGGGCATTGCTTTGAGTGTCTCATTTTAAAGGTTTCCTTGTCTGGATATTTTTTGTAGGGAAGGATGTTGTAACATGAATCAAAAACTGTCACTTTAAAAATGCTGTCCTTGATCAGCAAAATCACTTCTTGTGAAGAATATAAAATCAATTATTCTCCACTGTAATAATGTTGTGATACATTAACAATTTTTACAGAAATTTGAAAATCAATCAAAGGAAGTAAGTTTTCAGATAAAAAGCTAGAATGTAAGATATACAGAGAGTCATTAAAGTTAATTGGTACAGGTTACTAATTAGTAAAATATCAGAATACATGTAGTTCTATATACTGTATACAGGGAAATTTTTGCCCCCATTTTATTTTTGCCACTTTTGCCCTACTCTTAGTAGGGGGAATTTCAAACGGGGCAAATTCAAAGAAAACAGTATAATTTTTAAACAGAACTGTGAAGTGGGCAGATTTAAAACAGGCAAAATTGTTTGCAAGTGTTAGCTAAGGATGAAAATAACACAGGGCAAAAATAATCCTGTATACAGTATATCGGTGTAGGGTGGTATCTTAAATTATTAAGATGGTTACAGAAGGTATATACATGGTACATAAGCTAGATTTATACTACTGTAGATAAGCTTGAGTTGACAAAGTCATGCAGATTTTTTTTCATGGGAGTGTCAGTGTTCCATAGTTGACTTTTATGCCAGAATCAAATTACATCTACTTTTTTTGTGTGAAATTTGAAATGTATGTTATGTATTGTATTTTCAGAGACCAGGAACAGTAGACTCTGTGATGTCAGACAGAGTTCCCTCTAGACCTGCCTCCAGTACCACAGTCATTCTGCCAAAGTAAGTCACAAATACAGACACACAGACAGGCAACCAGACAGACAGACAGACAGACAATAATAACAGTAGATATGTGTACCAAGTGATGGTACAATATGTGTGAATTCTTGGTGAACATGTAGGTACTTGAAAATGTACTCAAAGTAAATATCTGCTTAAGTAGTTTGTTGACAAATACAGACAGGCAGACAATCAGCTAGACAGAAAGACAGTCAACTAGACAGACAGACATATAACAGTAAAGTAAACTAAATGATAGAAGGAACAATGTATATGGTTCTTAATAAAACATGCACTTAAAGCATATTAAATATACTCAAGATAAATAACCTCCTTAAGAAAAAGTAATATTTTGCCACCAGTTTATATATAAATAAATGACTAGTAAGGTTTAGTATAACCATGTTTAACTGTAGCTGTGACAAAGATTTTCCCTTCATGGTCTGATTCTAAGCCTTCCCAATTTCAGAATCTCTAGTACCAGTCTAGCACCAGGGGGTCCTGGGGCACTAGCCCCTGTAGCAGAACAAGATGAAGCTGCCCTTCAGATGGCACCTGCTGATGTCATGGAGGTCAACAGACCACCCATAGAGTTAGAACCTTTTGAAATGGTCCCTCCCCAGACTGATGATATACCTACCTATCCCTCCCAGGACCTGTACAAACAAGAGGGAATGGAGGGCCCAGAAACTGGGAATATGGCTACTGATGAAGCTATTCGTCACATTGAGGACAGAGGTTTACCAATCACAGAGGAGACTCTTAATCCAATCAATGCTCCTGTTGCAGGAGAATTGGAGGGACATACAGCCAATGAGGGTAAGTGTTACATTGTATGAATGTCACAAACACACTGAGTAACAGATAACACTAATGGTAGCATTGAGTCACATTTTCACTTTTTAATTTTGAGAATTTCTTATCAAGATGATAAGTTATACAGAGGTTTAGGTAAATGCAATAAGATTCACAGTGGCTGAGTGATTTCACCTTTAAGGGTCTACCTCAATCCAATGAAATATTTCATCATACATGTACATATTTGCAAAGAGCTATGCTTGACAAGATAAAGGCCATAATCTTGAATTATGCAAAAGTTTAAAGTTTCTGAAATAAATTGAGTGGAAAATCCACAGACATGACATATATCTCTAGATAGCACATTTACATCTCTCTGAATCAGAAATGGTGTAGGTTTTAGTTAGCTAGAACTTAAAGATTAATTTATTTTTTGATAGTGATTACTGAAATAATTAAATTTAAGAGTACATAATATAAATCAATTTAATTGATTTTCTTCATCACAGCATCAACAAAAAATACCGTCTTTGATTTTTTTATATTAACTAGTTCTCAAGGATTATTACTGTTAATGTTTCTTTGAATAAAGACCTTGTATAAGAGGAGGAAAAAAACTGGATCACATTCATTTGATCATTAACTTTTAGATATATCAATTAAAATCGACTGGTTATGGATTAGATTAAAAACATTGTTGAAGCTTTTGCTTTAGGATTGCAATTAAACAAATCAATGAATCAAAAAGAAGATACAATTAATTAAAGTCATTTTACCCAACAACCTTTCATTTAGGAAACCAGGAAAATTTGTACACACACAGATAAATGGTTTGGTTGTTAATATTTTTGTTCAACCCTTAAAAACATTTATTTGCATGATATCTATATACATGTAGTTCAAAGGCAAGTCAGAAAGACAGTTTAAGTTTTGATTGTTTTTTTTTCTTACATACAACTTTATGACACATTCTTATTTTTAAATGTCTTTTTTATTTAAAAAAAAAAATTATAACATTTTTACTAAAATGATGTGTTGTATATAAACTTAAAATTTTCATTTTTTTTCATAGATATATGTTCAAATTACTTCTTTTTGACCTTGATAAATACAACTATACACATTGACCTTGAAACAATCAAATAATAGTTAGTCTTTGGGAGTTTTAGGAATCAGAAAAATTATTTGCAAGTTTTTTAATCAAGTACTAAATTGTATATTTTCTTTGGCTCTCTAGTCCCCAGAAGGGACTACTTTGACACAGAGAGAATTTTACCTGCCATAGGAGAAGAGTGTGAGTAGTGTTTGCTGAATGTCGAGTCCTCTGTCTCAACTAATACATTGCTTAAAACAAAATCTTTATTATTGGATAAAAAAGGGGGGGTGGGAGTTAATGAACTGTTACAATTCTAATTGATGGAAAAAATATCCCGACGGTGATTGGAGTGAAATTTTGAATGATAAATATCATTTATTGATGAAAATTTAGATGATTTCTTGAGTATTTAATTATTTTTTTTTCAACATTCATGTGACATAAAAAAAAAATTAGCATATGATATAATTTCAACAAAGTAGTTGAATTGAAAAAATAATTGTTCCATATTTATTGAATACTGACTTTTCATAGGCTGGACAATGTACACTATATAAAGATATGCAGAAATTAATCAGGTTGATATCTCATTTAGAATAGGGAACCATAATGGCGGAACACATTTGCACTATTTTTCTAAACAAGCAATAATTAATACTGTATCTATAGTAATCCTGCTTAAAATGCTGTTTAATATAATAATGATTTGTTCTGTTTTTGACAGTGAGACTTTATCATCAGTTATTTTCACTGTTACATTAACACTACTAACAAATATTTCTTGAGTGTGAACACTGTGCACTTGAGTGTAAGAAAGACAGTTTTTTTTTATTTATTTATTTTTTTTTTTATACATTTTATGAATTATTTTTTAAAATTATTATATTTTTATTACTAATAAAACTTATAGCTATATGAATTCAAGACGATGCAGGAAAATATAAAGTACATGCAACTGTTGGTGTGTTCGATACACAATAATTATTTTTATCCATATTGGTTAGAGGGTCTACATAATTAATGCTTCTGCCTTCCTTTGATGGGTGTTTTTTATAGTAATTACTGCCATTTTGTCCTATTATCTTTACCTGATAAATAAATAATGTGCTCAGAGTTTAGTCGTTCTTTAATGCAGCATACCCATGCTCCGTAAAAACAAATACACTTCCATGACAACACATCTTTGAATGTTTTGGTCAATCCCATCGGAATTGGAAATTCATTTATAATTGATGTCAATAGAATGCTTGCAGTTTGTTTGATAATCTTATCTTAAATCCACATCATAAATTGTGGTTTTGAGAGAAATTTGAAATATTTATTGTTAATTACTGCACCGTAACTAATATGCAGTAACTTTCTTAATGTCTTCATTATCCACAAAAAAGTCCATATAAACTAGGCCTTGAAATCATAAAATAAAAACTTTTGTTTTAAAAATGTAAGAATGACTTTGAAATTCTTGGGAAAATATTAATGTGTAAGAAAATTCTTTGTATGATAAAAGAAATTTCCATCATCCATGAAATCTTTTAAGCAATGAGATGAAGAGTCAGTGTAGCGTACCAGAGTGAAGCCTGACTTTGTGTATTATCGGGGGTTTGTCTACCAATGGCTGAATGGGTGATGATGGGATTGCTATGGTAGCATTAATTAGTAATAAGTAACCAAGACACTTAGTACCCACACACTCAGGAGGAAGTGATACGGAGATAATTTTTATAAGGAATTATTACAGAAAATACCCTTAAATAATTAGAAATGTTTGGATTAAGTTTATTCAATGGGTGGAATAGTTACACCGGGAAAAATGCTAATTTGGACAGAGTAACCCTGGGACCTCAAAGTGACAAAGGTAATAGGCAATAAACTTATATGACCTTTGATTCCTGTCACTTAACAACAAATAAGGGTAAAATTATATAATGCTGTGTCTCAAATTTGTTGAAGTTGTTATAAAATTGTTCACATAATTGTGTTATTGTGTACCAATAGGTGAAATATTGTTAGTTTACCACATATATGAGCAAACAGCTTTATTTACAAGAAAGAGACTTTATATCTAATTTATAATTATTACTGGTCATAAACTGATGATCAACACTGCTAGCAAGTCAGTGGTTAATTTTCACATTCAGCATTCCTCTATAATACCATCCTTTAACAAATCGTGTACATGTACTTTATAGATACTAAGAAACCACCTGTTGCACCAAGCCGTTCTGGGTCCCGCCTGGCCATGCCTATGGCTCATGCTACTGGTGTCAGCCTTCTGGACGATTTGATGCCTTCCAACTTGACCCCCAAATCTGCCCCCTCCCCAGGGCTGCTCCACAAGTCATCTCCTGCCCCATTCAGAGATCTGGCAGATGGGTAAGTGTTTCTTAGCATTTTTAATAAAAATTACAAGCATGAATATAAATAAATATACATAAGTATGCTGTTGCTTTCTATGGACCACTGTCAAGTGTTATTTAACTAATATCATAGTGACTGTGTATAGAGCATTGGAATTTTACTAGTCTTCAGTGCAAGAGAAGAGAAGCTTTTGCAAGAGGATATAGCAACAAGGTCTTAGTTTATTGGTCTTTGTGACATTTCATCCATACCATGATATCGGATACAATATTTAAAGAGTAACTTTCGACTCATACTTTAAAGGGGTGACAGTTGCAAGAAAAAGAAGGCTCTTTTTGGTTAAAAATTAACATTAGAAAGACAGTGATGAGCATCAATAATTCTCTAGAAACAACCTAATGATTAACTGTTACATTGGATATTAATGGTCCATATAATAACATAGTTGCTTTAGTGATGGTAGTTGGTCAGATGAAGACATTCTATTTATTTTTGGGTGCAAAGATCAAAATTCAAGGTTTAAGAGATCTATATAAAATACTTAGGAATCAAAGGAAAAAGCTTAGATATAAAGTAAAAGTCAAAGGCAGAATTTGATTGAGAATAAGTTGGACATAGAATTACAATTTGACCAGACTAATGATCTCATATTGATACATGATGAAGCTTTTTGGCAAAAAGATATTCAGTTGTGAAGCTCATAGGCACACATTTCAATTTCACATTTTGGAGCTAGGGGATGTTCCACTTTGCAGAGCTCTTGTGAATATTTCTTACTCATCTTTTCACATCTTGCACAGTAATGTTTCATTTTGCTAAAAAAAAATTGTACTCTGTATTGTGGAGAAAAGGGAAATTTAATTTTTACAAAGCAGAAGGATAAAAAATTAATTTCAGATCTAAATCAACATCATTAGTCAGAGCTGCAACATTTACCTATCATGATTTAAGAAAATCAAACAAATTCCTAACACCTCTACCTGCTTCACATAAGGACAGGTATTAAATTATTTAAATATGCATTGGAGGGGGATTCCACACAGCTTCAAGTTTTTAAAAGTTATATATAGCCATAAAATGATTGAATTGATGATTGTATGGCATAACATCACTGTTTCATGGTGATAGAGCAGTAATTAGTCCACAGTTTTGAGTTACATAGGAATATACCACTAGGTGGTGGAAATGATTAAATGGTTTTGGGATTTTGCAGTATATTAAAAGCTAAAGGATGGAAGATTCACAACTCAATGGATAAAAGTCATATGAGAGATTATTTATAAAATGTTCAGTTTTAGTTCCAGACCTGGAACACCCTGTAAGTTATACAGTGTAGTAATCATCATATATAAATGACTTTCTGAATTTAGGTGATTTTAGTAAATTTAGCTTTGTAAATTGAGAAAAAAATCTAATATATCACTTTTATTGTTTTTATTTTTTTTTGGTGGAAAAAGGGGGGGGGGGAAGCAAGAGGGGCACAAAAAGGCAATTATAGGTTGTTGGTATTGTACCAGAATTACAAAATCCTAGCAGAAAATTGATTAGTTTAAATATCTCTGAAAATTCACGCTAGCAATTCCCCTGATCATTGCAGCTTGTTATTGGTACCTGAAAGGCTGATTCAAATTTCTCTTTGTAATATAAACCATTAGCATGATAACTGTTACCAGTATTTATAAGTAATGAGAAATGACAGCCTGTCATAATGGGAAGCGTGGGAAATGTTTTTACAGCAAACGAATTTCAATCACCATAAATGTTTATTGATTATCATTGAATATTTAATGTTGACAAGTGTAAAATTTCTGATAAACAGAGTCTGCATTCCCTTTGACAAGGATTTAAATGCCGTGTCATTGATTTTCATCAATACAGTCACGTATTATCAGTGATGCACATGGTAATATTAATATAGCCTACAGGTGCAGTGGGTTAAGTTAACATGAGCACCATAAATAATTCATATGCAAAAAAGCATCTAACCATCATGTACATGATGTGAAGGGAGAGTTGATTATACATATTCACCAAAAAATTATACTTCAAACAAGAAAAAGTCTCAAAACATTTTAGTTTGGTCTGTAGCATCTGCTATTAGAATAAATATATCAGAATAATAATTCTAACATAAAATCTTTGCTGTAGTTTGCCTCAGAGGAAGTCTGTTTCTCCCAAGTTAACTCCCCTACAGAGGTCCCAGAGCTGTAATGCCCTGGACAAGGGACCAGAGAAGCCCCCTAGTCCTCCCCAGTCTGCATGTGGTCATCCTAATGCTGGTCAGGAGCTGTGTTACCTGTGTCATCAGAGGTCAAGGAGGAACATCCCCGTGTCATTCACCGAGGAGAGACGTCGCCGCGAGGTGGAGGAGGACAAACTCCTACAACAATTTCAGTACATGAAGGATGCAGAGGAGACTCTAAAAGACCAGGTATGTATAGATTTATATATGCTGAAAAATATAAATATGTATTATAATAGTAAATCATTAAATGGAAAAAAAAAAAAACATGATTAAAAACTTCACTCAGTAAAAAATGATGTTGGTACCCAATGCATTGGAGTAAGTAAGAAAAATTTATTTAAAAATGAGTTATTTTTGCTGATCTTTTGATAAGAAAAAATGCTAAAAATATAATGTTATTAATTTATTATATTGACAATACCTTAATAGGAGGGTATGCTGGCTAAACGTCATGATCTACAGAAAATGGCGGCATTTAACCTTGGAGTCGCAGAGGGCATTAATCATAAGAAGAAGACCAGGGACCTTGATTTCCATGTAAGAAATGTAACATGTTAAGAGATCTCAAAATATGTTCAATGAATCCCAAGAATTTAAGAAATTAAAACTTTTTGAATAAAAATTTTATTCGTACTTTTCCAGAAATCATACATTTTCCAAAAGCGTCCCCTAACACCACCCAGGATACTGAAGCAGAGAGAGTATGCAAGTGACCTGGCAGGACAGGTAAGCATCAGAATTTAGAGTTATCTCTCTTGGTACAAATCTATTAATTGCTAAAAGGTACATGTATTAGAAACTACTTTTAATTATATATACTTTTCAGGTCACTGTAAAGGATACAGTGAAGCAAAAGAAGAAAGCTGATGAGGAATTTCTGGAGAGACTTGAACAGGTTCAACTGGCTGAAGAGTAAGTATGGAAGATAGATAGACTTCAAGATATTTTGGAGCTTACAAAAGATTTAGTCAATTCTATTCCACAGCATATTAGACTCTGTTTTCTGCTACAGCAAACTGTGATTCTTGATCATGATTAAAAATGATGACTCTGTAGTTCTTGACCCTTCCTTTGCTGAATAAAAGTCACCACAAGAGATATATTTTTTCCTTTTCCCCTTATAGTCTAGCTGCACAAAGAGAACAGTTTATAAGAGACAAGTATGAACAACAGGATATGTACAAGAATGCTCTAGAGGCCCAGGTAGGCAACTAGTTTATAAAATTACCTTACAAATACTAATCCTTTAGTGTTCATACATTACACTAGCTCTTAATATTTCTGAATGTTGCTAATACTACCACTCTGTTCAAAGTATGTACATTACTACATTACATTAAATCATGGGATTAATTTTAATGATAAAGATTTCTTGTTAAATTTTAGAAATATACAAGTTTTCTTGAAGTGCATTTTTAGTCATTTCATTAAATGGAATGTGTATGCTTTGAAATTTCTATCTATTAAGCTGCTTACTTTAGTAAAAGTGTGCTTTTTTCAGCAATATTAACCAAGAATTATTTGTAAATCTCATTTTTTTATAGACCATAACATTTTATGCACTGATGTCTTCAGAGTGTGAGACACAGTCTATTTTAAAATATTAATAAACTATTACATGTATATGGACCATTTTTATTTGCGAGTCTCTAATCGAAAAATGGTCTGTGATAAATAATACTTGCGATAGAGGTTTCCTGTTTTATAAACTTTTACAGTCCTTTACTGTTTTGCAACCATAAATATTAACAGTTGGAGATGCTTGCGAATCTCGCAGACATTTTTGACATGCATATTAAAGTTGTTTTACAGTATCAGAATTTCTAAAAAAGAAAAACCATCAATTACTTGTAATACAACAAAAAAAATTATTACTTTTTTGCAAGGTAAATTTTAATTTTTTAGTTCTAAGAAATTGATTCAATCTTCCAGATTTCAATGTTTTTCATTATAAATTCCTGCACACTCTTATGACAGTTTGTATTTGCCTTCAGTTTTTGAAGTAGAGGGCTTACATTTCATTTCTCATATCTATTACTGTGGAATCATTTTGATTTGTGGGGGTCAATATTCAGGGACAACCAAATTTTAGCGGTTCCCTGGGGACGTAATTTCAAGGGTAACTCGAATAGGTAGAAGGTTCAATTAACTGGCATATTGACATAGGTATCCTTCGTGGGGATGTAAATTAGTGGGAAAGGATGACCTATGAAATCCATGAACATTGGTCCCCACGAACAAAGGTGATTCCACAGTAGCTGCTTTATACAATTTTCATGATCATTTCATTCCATTTTTCTTTCTCAGCTTTCTAACAGTTTGTTGTGAGTTTGCTTACTAACCTTCTATTTGGTTCATTGGTTGGCTAGATTAAAATTAGAGGTCGTTTCCGTAAGTCTGACGGTCTTGTACGCACCCCCGAACCTCCCTCCATGCTCTTGCCACGCCGATTGCCCACAGCAGACCACACCCTTTTGCCCTCTGCCCGCCCCAAGCTCAGCAACAGCAATTTCTCTCTTCCAATGATCCCCAAAATCCTGACACCTTTCGGGGACTTGATGCCAGAGCGGATGAATGAGAGACTGAAGTCGCCAACCTTCAAATCACGGGTATACTATACAGATATCTACAGGTCGATGCGATAATTTTTTTTACAATAAGGATACTGCATGGATTCATAATTCAACCATTGTGTAAAATATTATTTGTGATGAAAGAGAATCCCTGTTTCATTTATTAGATGTTCATATAATCATTATAATCGCATACCATTAACAGACATGTCCTGTGCTTTCATCAGTAATTTCTTATATCCTATACTGCACTTGTATAGCGGGGATTTTTAGCGGGGTGCTAAATTTGGCTTATTTTAGCGGTTTGGTAGTAGCACGCTTGAATTTTAATCGCTAAATTTGCAACCCTACGTACATAAGTAAAGATGCTAACTTTGATCAGTCTGTTAAATATTTTAATGGTACATATCATTTGTTTTTATTTAAACTCTTGCATAAATCAGTATTCAAACATACAAATGTACTGAAAACTCGTCTGGAAGATGAACTTCCTTTCTCTGCAACTGAATTCCGTGTCCGCCAAAACAGTTCTGCCAAAATATATAATTGGCACACCTCTGAGTAAGCAAAACGCCAAACTGTACACCCGCTAAAGAAACCCGCTATACGGTAGTTTCGATATGTAGTTTGGCTTGTGCTTGTTTGTAGTTAAGCTATAGACTTCTGTTTCTATGTCACATACTTATCCAACAAAACTAATACTTTTCTAACCGGAAACACATTTACAGGGTGAGTGTAGTATCTTTTTAATAAATTCTATTTGTTTGTAACACCTAAATCCATTAAGTAGACAGCAATACATGTCTGCGGACGGGTTTCTATGAGCAATAAGAGCAATGCACTGGGTGCATTTGTTAATCTGCTTTACGCAGACAGAGAGATCAGTCGTAATCTTATTATTTGAGGACGATTTAAGTATAAATTGGGCATTCCAAATGATATCGGAAGAAGTTCTTTTCAAATATCAGTTGAAATTGTACTGTACATTCTGATTCTCTCCAACTGACACCTAATCAATATATATGATCAATACAACTTTCAATACGACCCTAAATTTTAAACAGCTCGTGTTGAAAACATTTATTTTGATTGAAGTTTAAAGGGATCCATTTTACTATATACCCATTATTGATAAGTTCAGTAATCCTTTTCATTAATCCAGGTGGTGTTTATTACAATAGAACTCATTTATTCTCATAAGGCGCGGTAAGATCTAATAGAAGCTGTTTTAGGACTTCATACAAAAACCACGGTAGGGGGCTGAAGGTACTGTTTAAACATTGAAATGCTGCATGCTTTCAGCTGAAGTTTAAACCATTACAAGTTCCTCCACGAGAACCTGACGGTGAGGTGTTCGGTAAGAATGATATGAACAACGAGAAAATGGCCGACAGGAGAAGAAGGGCGTACGAACTGTTCAGAGAACAACAGGAACTGGTGGCGCAAAAGAAGAGGGAGGATATACTGAAGAGGTTGATGGAACAGCGAGAGGAGGAAGACGTTCTGGAGAGGACCAAGAAAGAGTGAGTTATTGTCTGCATAGAGAGAGAGAGAATGTATCAGCATACTAGTATTCGTATCTGGTCACACCTGCGTCTAAACAAGATTGAAATGTTAGTTGTACTATAATAACCCAATGCATTTTTTTCCGGCTTCCAAAATAGATAACTGGAACTAGAAAGTTAAATTTGATTTTATGGACAAAAATGTTTTGCTTCGTTTGAGTCTCGTGGTGACAGGTGACAAACAAGCAAAATCTGTCAAAAGTGTAACAAGGTACATGTTATACTAAATTTAAGAACTTGAGAGTTTTAATGACGATCGTATTTCCTACAAGTATAATATTGTTGGATCCTATAAAATTGAGGATTTGCAAACGGGAGTGGGGACTTTCCTTAATTTTCACCAATTTTTTAAAATGAAAAATAGTCATATTTCCATATGAATTCAAAGGATTTACATCTTTTGAAATAAGATATTTGCTGATGTTAATTGTCAATGATAAAAATGTCCATGAAATCCTAGTTGATGCTGATCCAGTGGTTGCTGGTGATGCGCTCCTTTTTCCCTCACTGGTTAATTACGCTGATTCGCGTCTTTGTTTCCAGGCGGTTCTTATTCATTGTCTAAAACCCATTCCTAGCCCCCCCCTTTCCCTAGAGATCCTATTAAAAACTTATCCACAACTATCGATGTTCATCCGCCAATGTCCACATATGATTACACTGCTTTCAGGAAAACTAGTCATATGTAATAAATTCGCCACTAATGCTAACTATTTTGTGCTCTAGGTTCATTATCAGTACATAAACATCAAAACATATATCAATACACAGATTTCTCAAATTCATTCATTTATTCATTCTGTCTCCTTGGACCTGTCAAAATTGAAAATAAAAAATTATAAAGCTTTCTTTCATCTTGGGTGTCTTTAAAGATTTTGAATTCCTGAAAATCAATTTTGAGCTCTATATTTTTCCCTTGTTTATTATAATATGAGTGATTACGTTTTAAATCAGTTTAATTAAGTATTAATTTCACGGCTTTGTCATTACGTGAAAAGAGCGAAAATAAAATCGCCGCAAAAATACATCATGCATAAAACACAACATGCTCATTATGGGGTATAATTTTGGATAATTTCAACAATATTTTTATTGGAATCTAGAGTAAGGAACGTACTTATTTTTTCCTACAGATTGACAGAGGATAGATCTAATAGATTCCAGCGCAGGGCCTTTGTCCGCAGACGCCTAGAGGAGGATTGGGCCGAGTCCTCCAAGCGGAAACGTGAACGAGAGATGGAGGAACGTCTCCACCAGCTGGCGCCAGGGTCGCTCCTACACGAACAGTGTGATAAATATAACCGATGTAAGCAGTGCAAGAGGAAACTGAACAATTGTGGCGAGTCTAATATCTGGAGGGAATCCCGGTACATTCCCGGATCTCGACTGATGGTCTAACGTGCTATATCTAGAAAACTTTATAATAATTACTATTATACTAAATAAATTGCTCATGTCATATGTCAATGCGATTTTATACACTTCTAAATCATCAGTATTACTCTCTGGTTTTATTATGCATTTTGTTTTACTGTTTTTACATCTAGAAGGAAGAAAGATAATTTAAGTCCCCCAAACAATCATGTCTTGATTTTCTAAGTTTATAAAAATCTTTTAAGGCTGTTATTGGTTGATGTGAAATATATTTTGTTACTGTCATATGAAAGACTATATATGAATTTATTCACATCCTTTATAAAATGTTATACTATGTAGCGATGTCTGTGTTCAGTCTAATGTGCTCTGTTATTCTGTTCAAAACCCTGTTTGAGTATATCATAATGTGCATGGGAAGGAATTTAATATTTGAAGAAAAATATTTATTTCTGAAGCATTTGTTAAACATTGAGTACCTCCTCAGGTAGAATAAACTGTAGATTCATCTAAATACAACAACTGCTTTGATTTGTTTGTATGCAATGGTTTGAGAATTGTGATATTCTATAGCTGCTAATGATTGACTGTGATATTTTATATACCATCATGTATTGTTAGATACTATTCGGTTAAGACTTTGTCATTTTGAGTACAAAGAAATATGTTAATTTATGTGTCAACTGCTTTTGTGAATAGTCATTTCAAATAAAAATTTGGATGATTAAAAGTTTTTTGTCTTTAATCAAAATTCACCTAACACAAGTAGACTAGTTAAAATGTCCAGAAGTCCCTGCCCTCCTATTGTTTGAGGTTATTAGACGTATACAACAGTTCATGCAAAAGTGAAATGGACATCAAAAAGTAAAATAAAAATAAGGCATATCGATAAGTATATAAGTGCAAGCCCCCAGTGTACCAACGAATATGAAAGGACTTTTAAACAATACATTAAGACGTAAACGTAATAATAAACATCGATGATACAATAAACCAGACATTTGATTCGTTTTTTCCTAACGTTAGTAAACATCACATTGGCGCAAACCTATTCTGTTCCCATAGAGCTTTTAAATGGGCTATTTGGAAGAACCAAAATCAAGTCCAACCACCCTCCAATTCCTATGCAAAACTCCAACTACATGTAATTGCATCAAACGTTTCAATTATATAAACAAACCCTACAGTGCCTTAATTTTGAACAGCATAAACTTATCCGTCTAATACGTAGTTCTTGTTCTTCTTCCTCTTCTTTCAACTGTAGTCCTGCCGGACACTGCATGATAATGTAAACTTACTTATCCTCTCCGTGCCCCGGAGGAGGCATGAGGCCGTTCAAAAAAGAACGCCACTTAAGGTGGTCACTGGCAACAACCTGCCCCTTTTTCCAGCTGATCCAACCCAGTTCTTCTCTTTCTCTCTCAACAGATCATCACTAGGTGTTCTTTGGTCGTCCTCTTCTTCTCTTTCCCTCAGGGGCCCATGTGAGAGCTGTTCTTATGTGTGAGCTGGCTTCCTTTCGGAGGATGTGGCCTCTCCATCTCCTTCCTAAGTTATTTAGAGCGCACATTTCTGCTAACCTCATGCCGTTTTCATTCATAGTCCCAGTGCCCTCTTGTCCCATGACTCTTTCCCATCCTTCTGATAATGTAAAGATAGTTAAAATAACGACATCAAAGTAATAATTTTATAAGGTTCAAAATTCAGGTAACCTCACTCTTTCAAATGGCGACAGAACTTCATTTTTATATTATATAGGATATTCTATTTAGGATGGATAATGCGTACTTTGCTTTTTGATTGTCAGCTAAAAGGCAAAATATATACCGTCTAGAATCGAAGTTTTAAAAGAATAAGATAAACTGCCTCAACAATATGTCATGGCTCCAACTGAAAAGGCTAAAAAATGTAGTCTTTGTAAGTCTCATTATTACATCTGCATTTGAAAACTTGATTATAATTTCACTTTTGAAAATCCTATTTACACTGTTTCCTTTAAAGGGAAGAATTTTTTGTTTTAATATATTTTCTTTTTCTCTTTTATTAAAACATGGTACATATATTCGTCAAACATACAAACTCCAAATAATTGCTTGCTTTTAGATACAAGTCTTCATTTATCACATATGCTTTCTTTAGAATTATATTTTGAATGCAAAGGCAAAAATCTTATTTCGAAAATTTTCCTAAAACATCTGCATTTCATTTTATATTTATAAATTTTAAATCAAATAAAAAATTTACTTACCTTGTCATTGGTCATTTGCAAAATTAATTTGCTTAAAAAAAATTGATTCTACAAATGTACACAGAAGTATTCCGAAGTTGATATTAAATGATTCTTAAGTTTCTGATTTAGAATATCTTTGTAGATTTTGGAGATGAACTCTTCGAACAATCTGTCGGAATTTACATGGGTTCTAATTGTGCCCCGTTATTACCAGACCTATTTTTATATTCATATGAAGCAGAATTTATTTAAAAACTTACATACATGAAATGAAGTCTCTTTGCTGTGTTCTTCAATTCAACATTTCGATATACCGACGACGTTTTATCAGTTAACAATATTTTCATTTCTATGTTGATTCTATATATCCATTTGAACTCGAAATAAAAGACACCATAAAGTCTGACACATCTGTTTCATATTTGGATATTTTACTAGAAAATAACTTTAATGGTAACTAACAACAAAACTTTATGATAAATGTGATGACTTCAACTTTCCTATTGTTAGATTCCCTTATTTATGTAGCAATATACTATTATCACCGGCGTATGGAGTTTGTCTCCCAGCTAATTTGATACGCTCTACTTACGAACAGTTTCTAAAACGAGGCAAGCTATAGACAAATAAGTTGATGAAACAAGAATATCAACAGTCTCGTTTAAAGTCAATATTTCGCAAATTCTATGGTCTGTACAATGACCTTATCAGCAAATACAATAAATCAATGAATAAAAAACCCAATAAATCATGAAGTCGAATGTTGACTGACGTTTTTCATACAAATTGTTGGGCCATTATTTTCACACTGTATTATCTACGGATTTTTCCGTTTGCCCGATCATGACAAGGAGAACATGGCGGGTGTGGCCGGTCAGAGTGTGTAGAATCAGAGTGATTTTTAACAAAGTTATTTTGTTGATGACCAATCACAAGATAGGAAAATTTCCGACTTCCATTTTTATTGAAGAAGCTGATGTCTATTCCATCTCTCGTATTTTCAGAGGTTCGTGTTTTTTGTCTTCTTTACGGATCGTATTGTTTTTAGGATTGATCCCTTCTTATTATCGGATAAACAGGTATGATTGATTGATTGATTGTGTGTTGTTTTACGTCCCTTTCGAGAATTTTTCATTCATATAGAAACGTTTCCATAAACCGGTGAAGGGCTTTAAAATTTAGACTTTTACTCGGCACTCAGGGCCATTGAGCAGTGAGGGTTCCTTAACATGCCAACGCCTTCCGTGAAACGGGGCCTCGGTTTTTAAGGTCTCATCCGAAAGACCCGCAACTTTCACTCCAAAGTACCGAGCGCTGGGCGAAGGAACAGTTGCTACCGGTTTTTTTTTTTATCGACTTAGATCAGTCGCGGCCGTGATTCGAACACACGACCTTCCGATCACGGAGCGAGCGCTCTACCGACTGAGCTACCGTGACGGCGGTATGACAATTTGTATGATAAATGTCGATCAACATTCGATCTAACGACAAAATGTACTTGCAAACAAGGTCATTGGATCGACAACCAGAATTTGTAATATATTGACTTTTAACGAGATTGTTGATACCCTTGTATCTTCAACTTATTTGCAAGTAGCCTGCGTCTTTTTAAAAATTGTTTGCACTTAGAAAATTCAAATGAACTGGGCGACATACACCATATATGCAGTGATAATGTTGTATTGCTACATAAGTCATATATTCTGGTTTGAAAAAAGCTAACTTTAATTTTGTAAAAGGCAGAATTGTTATGGATATTGTAGTTGTTTATTTCTTTGAAATCGGTTTTGATGAATGTCATATTCCGTGTTGCTTTCGGAAAATCAAAGTTTTCTTCATTCTCAGTTTCTTTTCTCCATGACATAGAAAAGGTATAAATATCTTTTTGGTTTAATAGTAAAAACTTTTTTGTTAATTTGCGTGGTGATAAACCACTGAAACAGAAGGAGCTACAATGAAAATACTTAAATGTTCGTCTTCAAATATACCCATTAATTTCCGGAAATTTTCTTTACATGAGTTTAAATCCAGAGAAACTCATTCGGGCTACTGTGTTGCTCTCTAGAATTTGTCCTCCATGATATGACCCGACTCCTGTATTCACTACATCTCCTTTCTTCAAATTCAATATGGTTAATGTAGAAGAGGTGTCCTTGTCCTTATGATCACCCGAGTCAGCAAATGCTATATCTTTAACGACTCCATTTTGAACTATTTCTATAACGCTGGCAGATTTATCGTATGAAACTGTTGTTGTGTGTATGACGTAGACCCCACTTTGTGGAGCGATGAACTTTCCCGACTTGGCGTTATATCCGTTTCTAATGTTTGTCTCAACACGATCATATACAAATATTTTGTGTTTGGATAATGTCTTTATCTGGATGTTACTGGACATATAGGCATAAAATGCAATTTGTTGACCTGAAAAAAAAAAAAACATTATCCCCATTTATCGTTATAGTTCATTCTACTAGTTAGTTACTCATACATGTATTTTCAAAATTTTCATCACAGAAAAAAAGACATCGATAAAAGCATTGATAGTTAACAGAAATGTTGAGTGATCTAAATTATGAACATGAACAAAAGATTTGTCAGAAGACTCCGATTTTAAGATACCAGTTCCAGTTAGTTGACTTCCTTTCCTTTGTCCACAGAGACTACATATTGTGTCTTCCATCTCCTACCGGTCACACGAGTCACTGCCATTAGCAACGCCGGCGAAAAGAAAGAAAAGCAACAATGGTTTTAGCATGTTGTATGTGTAGCTCAGCTTAAAGCAGAGTGCACAGAACTCCAGTTTCGTCCTCCTCTTAAATCAGATTTTAAAATCATAATGTCGTGTTTAGATAGCAGTTAAAGATTGTATTTCAAATGGATTTTTTTCTATGCAACAATTTATACTATCATTTTCAATTTAATTTCATTTCTTTTCTCATGGATCACACGTTGTTTCTATTTAAGTTTCATCACGCAACAACAGCATATGTAATTGTAATATTGTTTAAAAATGAAAGCTTCTTGTGTCTTGAATAACCAACAAAATAATTCATTTTTTCTTTTGTCTCTATCTTAATTTCAACAGCATTTTTTCCAGCTAGAGGTGTCCCAATATAAGAGGTAATTCGTTAATAGTAAAAAGTCTGTCTATCAATTCCTTTACACTAACAGAGAACTTGGAACTCGAGTTGACCCATCAGCATGCATATTTATTTTTTCAGTGGTTTTTTTTTTGGTACTAGTGTTCCATTTCTTACAAACACGGAATGATCTATGAATTATCTGAGAAACTTTTCCAGACAGGTTCTAATTAAACTATGTATACTGCAGGTAGATTGCACTTAGATATATCTGTTTTTTGAATTCTATTAAAAGGTAATAACTCGGTAGCTTAAAAAAGAGTGACCTGGATATTGAGTTCTGGACAAGTTTCAACTAAACTAAGAAAACTGCACCAGGATACTTTTTACAAAAGAACTTTTGGTCCTATTTTGATAAAACGTGCTATACAAGAACTGGAACAACTGTGAAATACAATTTAATTCTGCGTATCTTTTTGATTTCAGTGAATGGATGAATTTCTTTGAAGATACTTATCTTTCCATTATTTTTGTTTACTTAAAATTTTTAACAATTTTTCACACACATGCAGAATGGACCAAGATATATGATTTTGTATATTACTTTTGTTGTTGATTAACGATATTGAAATATGATCACTGAAAATGGACTAATCTTTGAAATTCTTTTAAAATACTACTCCTACAGTAATGCAATCCGATGGACAATTAGATTAAAAGAACACACTATTTTATGCTTTTATATTTCTGCTTATTTTCAGGTGTAGCCTTTGTTCCTACAGATACATGTACATATAAATGAATAATCTGTGAAATTCTTTCAAAATTCTACCTCCCCTGTAGTTCGATATAGCTCTATTAATAGTTCCTAGAGTATGGATAGACTACATTTAAATAGTTAATTTTCTGTCCCTATTGTTTATAAAGGGGTTACCGTCTTCGTGTAATCTGTATCTATAACTATTTTAATTCCACATCATTAAAACTTTGCACACAGATTGTAGAACATTGAAAAAGAGCATATTTTATATTGAATGAAGTAAAACAAATAGTACGCTACTTTGTCATTTGCTGAACTTGAATTAGGTTAATGCAAAGGTACATGTACCTTTATTGTTTAATCTTTATCACCAACAGTTTATAATTTCACATTATTAAAACTTTGCAGAGAAATTGTACTATAGGCATATTACAGATTTGAACCTTTCAATTTAAATTAATTTTAAAAATAGAATGTTTTTTTCTATTGCTGAACTTATTTTTCTCCTCATAGGTATTGTACTTAGGTTGTGTAATATGCAATTTCAATTTTTTTTAATTATTAACATTGAAAATATCTTTTGATGTTATTGTCAATTTGAATACAAACAAATATGCTAATTATTTTTCAACTGCTTGTATTCATTTTAAATCAAATATTACCATTTCTAATTGTTTTCTCTGTGATAACTCTTTGAAAGTTAAGTGAGTTGATTTCTTGATAATTCAACCGGAATGTTAATTTCGCCAGGTGAAAGGTCAGGAGCCTAAAATGCATGTCAATTTCTTGCGGCTTTGTTTGTATCTGAAGTCAGTGGTCGGGGACTATTGAAATTAACATGGGAGGCCACGTGTATTTTAAATCTATTTGACAGCACTTTTTAAAATTTATAAATACAATAATCAGTAATTTTATATAGAAATGTAAATATAAGGAATCACTGTCTAGTTTGTTCGGTATGCAAGGGACATCAACGATAGTTGGAAACGTGGGATAATTTATGCATAACGGGCTTCGTGAGGCTGTTATTGCAGGAACTGCTTTCTGCTTTACTAATTTGCAAGACTTTAACCGGAATATTACAAACCCAACATTGTTACAGATACTCAAAATAACGGAGGTCATCAATGCAAAAATCTTCATTATTCGTTCCAAGCGATATTTGTACACGTGTGATAAGACGCATAAAGAAACACGCCAGTGAAGCAATGAAGGAAAACAAAAACAGAGATAAACAGCTTGACATTTGTATATAAGCTCACTCCGATACCGGGTTCAATTCTCGGTCCAGTCATATCCTTTCCTGGTTTATATGGTGCTGTGCCATGCCCTCAGCAAGTGACAGGTGAAAAACCTGCTAGGAAAGAACTTTGGGTTGGGTTCTTCGGGGGTGAAGACCATTTAAGGAGGGAGTAGTAATTGTAGTAGTTAGGGCCGTGGGTATCACCCTTGGTACTTAGTGTTTAGAGCACCTTAAAAGTGATACAGGGGTCCCGGGTTCGTTTTCCTTCCATCTATTCATTTTATCCTTACCTTTTACACAAGAACAAAAAGATGTAGTTTACAAGAATCAAGGTGATGCTTTAGCAATTTTTTCTTCATTCTATTAAATGCATTTCTAAATATTGGAATATATACCCTATATTATATATTTTTTTCTATTTGACTTAAGCTGAAAGAAAGGTGAAAGAAGTGGAAAAAATATTTGGCTCATATCCCCCATGAAAAATTAAGCAAGTATCCCACTTTATCTAAGATAATTACGAAGGATATGCAGTCAAACTCTCATCTTTGTTTTTGAAAAAAAGAAACAGACAATGGATTTTCTTATTCGTCCAACAATAATAAGATGAGTCATCAATTTGCTCTCAGTAGGTAAGCAAGAAATTCTTTGATTTTCTTTTAGTATTATCACGATGCAACCCCCCTCCCTCCCTCCCCCCCCCCCCCCGAAAATGAAAGAAAAGCTAAATACAATTTCACTGAAATTAGACCCTTTAAACCGCTCTTTTAGATCCAGAATAATTCTTAGCAATCTATGAAGCAGAAATGAAAGAAACGGTGGCTGTGTGTGTGGATGAGGGTGTGTACCCCTCAGTATTGTTTCCAATGAATAAACATATACATTCGAATAAAATAAAGCTTTTTTTTTTTTTTTTTTTTTTTTTTTTTTTTTTTTTTTTTTACGGTTATTGTGTTTCCTCAATTATTTTAAACATAAATATTTTTTCTACTCGTCAGAAACTTACTTTTAGTTGAATCCTTTCCTCCAAACTTCCAGTGGGCCTAATAAATTGGGCTAAACACAAAGTTTTGGACTGAACTGCAACTGTACAGTGACAATGTAGTACATCAAATTTATATTCAGCACACGTCTTGAGGAGTGCTAAAGGTAGTAGAGTATTCTCACTCAAAACAATAGACATGCATGTACTTATTATTTACAAGCTGAAATAAAAAACAAGTGTATTATGTCAAAGTATTTTTTACTGTGTAAAACGTATTATAACAACTTTGAAAAAACATACATTTGTTTTTCCTGAGTATTCATGCCAATATATGCCAGAAAAGTTTAAACAATAAACTAAATAAACAGGCATTTACATTGTATTTACTTGTAACATAATGTGTACAAGAAATAGCGCTGAAAGTCTTAGTCAAATTGGTAAAATTCAAATATCCCGGGCAAGTGTAAATCTTCGGTTTTTAAGCTGATCAGTATATGATATAAAAGTAAATGTATCTACCATCAGAGACATATACATGTAATATTTAACATTTCATCAATAAAAACTTTTAAACAAATTCAAAAGGACAATGTCAAGTTCTTTCTTGCTGTCAAAAACTATATTGTTGCATCAGGATTAGATGTTCATCCATGCCTCGACTTTGAAAAGTGGTAGCCGAACAGATTTTCAACAGCTAGGTCTGATGCAGTCTGGATTTGAATAATGAATTCTTCAAAATCTGTAATTGAGGAGATTATACATTTCAAAGGAGTAGGGCGTTGTACATTCCCCAGAATTTAGTATCTATGATTTTATCATCAGTTTATAAAAAAGTTTGTAATTACAGAGATTGTACATTTAAATATGTATCTAATTATGGAGATTAATTGTAAACTTATATGGACAAGACTAGTACTAACATTCTTGAGAATTTAGCATAGATTTGTAGTATATGTATTTTGAATCTTGTATCAAATAATTACAAACAGCCTTAACTTATTCATGAACTGTTTCAAAAATTGCAGCACATAATATATAGATCTCTTTCACAAGACAAAGCCATTAAACATTACCTCTTTAAGAAGAAAGAAAAAAAAACTGCTAAAATCCAAACATCTCCTCGTCACGATAAGATTTGAAATATATTCAGTTATCTTTAAAAAGATTTTGAGAGCCACCTATTTAATCTCGCTTTACAATATTGAACGAGTCCATTTATGAAAAAAAGATATAATAATTGCTCCCTGAATTATCTTGAAAGATAATAAATGACATATTAATATTTTTCAAAACTGAATATTTACAATATAAAATTTGCTTTAAAATTATTAAGATTTTATATTGAGAATTATCCTGGTCAGTAATTTGACTATATTGTCACAACACTGTTATATTATAATGTAACATTACATTGATCCAAATCGTATAATTTGTAAGTGAGTAAGCAAAAATATACATGAAATATGGAGATAACGAACAGTATTCAAGCTCAAAGTCCATTTAAACAATACAGATCGGGAGCAGAGCAAACACGGACCACCAAAACATCAGAGGTGGGATCAGGTGCCATAAAGAAGTAAGCATTCCCTGCCGACCTGTCGCACCCGCCTTGTGCTCTTTGTCATGATCGAGAAAACGAAAAAATCCGTACACAATTCAGTGTGTAAAT